TTTTATTTCGTTTGTTAAGAACAGTAGCTCAATCCAGGACTTCAAAAAAGTGTCTTTGCGCATTTTATGAAAAACTTTCTCTGGTATTTTGGATTTAATTAAAAAGATGAGCAAAATTTCCAAAAAGTTGAGCCACTAATTTCTATACCAAGAGTTATTCTTCACTATTTAACAAGTCAAAATTGTTAATTTGTTTTTGTTTCCGAGAAAAATCACGCAGAAATCACAGTTGCGATGTAATATGGCTCTTAATATGAATTTATGCATAATCGAATTTTGCACGTTTAAAATATTTACTGGTTTCGGTGGACCCCTGTTGCTACATTTTTACCATATTCCCAAAATTCGTCCAAAATGTGAAGATGTAACGATGGAAATTGGCGTTGCGGGTGAGTACGTAGACCGCCGATGAATCCCTCGTGGACCCCTGGGGGTCCACCTGGACCACTTAGGGAATCACTGAATTAGATAATCATTATCACCAGCCTATTAGTATCCCCGCTATTTGGGCTCAGGCCTTCCCTAAAGATAGGATCGAATCAAATCTAGAAGAATGGGCCATGACACATCACGCTGGCCCAGTGCGGATTCCGAATGTCAACGACTGCAGACGCAACCGGGGGATGTACCTTCCGAAGCAAATTAGATAATAATCCAATATTATTAGATAATAAGCCAAAATTATCCTATATTGCAGATGTTATAGCCTTGCAGATGCTCTCTTAAGGTCATACTATTTACTGTCACGCTTATATCAGCAAGTATAGGGCTAGTTGGGCCTTGTAGTATATTGTTCTTCCGTAACTTCCTTAGTTCTTTCAAAATTGAGCTTCCATAGTTTGAACAGTGTTCTCAAAATAATTTATTCAAAGACTACACATCTATGCAACATCAGCTTTTATTGTAGGTAATCTTTCTTTTACACTAATAGTATGACGTTAAAGTAATGTCATAATAAATTTGCTGCTGCAGCGTCTGGACAGTAGTATCCAACCATATGATAATATAACATTAGCTTTACGTAGAAATACCGTAGTTTGATGAGCAATAAATGAGAGACATTAATAAAATAGATGATATTCTGCATTTTCAGATGTCTGTAACGATTAAGATCCTCTCAAAAATTTATGTATAATATTTTGATTTTGAATTCATGTAAAATTTTCGAGTTCGATTTTCAGGGTTTTTTAGAAATTGTTGGTCAAAAGTACATATCAATGAAAAAAAAACAAATAATTCCTTTTTAATATGTAGAATTATAAAAAAGTTTTGTTACAAATTGTATATTACCTCGTTTATTTAATCAACATTGTGTTGGCCGAATGACAAAGTTTAGACAAGGAAACCACACGAAGAAAAAAATAAAGAAATATAGGCGTGAATCGGCTAATTTGATATATAAAGATCCGGTAATAATTCCCATTCTATTCCATCTGAAACGCGTCACGTATGTGTGTGGGAGAGATAAGGTCAACAAATAAATTGTTGCATCCAAATAAATTCATCATATCTATTTCAGTATCAAATATTAGATCAAAAAATATATATTTTCATAGTACATAATAGACAAAAAGACAATACAGATAGGCAATTCGACAGAGTATCATAATGAAGACAAAAAGGAACCTTGAAACCTAGAATACGCAGAAGTAAAACTTCAGGTGTATTTAGTAGAAAGCGGTACCGACAGGACGTATGGGAATACAATATAGCGCACTTATTGGCTCTTCGTTCACATATTTTCGCTATTCTGACGTGTATGATTGGTATTACCATACACCGTGACCAAGTTAGCTATATATTTTTATTCCGTGTACAGACCTATACTTACTTACGAATAATAGTCTATTTTTGCTTGCTAGCTAGCATATACCTAGCGTTCCGTTTTTAGAAGAATCACAAAATATTTTACAGCATTTCACGTAAAAAGAACTTATTGTAAGAATAGTAAATGAAGAATGAACTTAAGTACTTCTAGTAATCGTGATCATCTCAGAAGTTAAAGAAAAAGTGATTGTAAAAGTTTTTGATTAGATCTAGTGGTATACTTCTTAACTACACTTACATGGTACTCCTTGGCATCGAATTCAATTTAATATTCTTAACTGCTTCTTGATTCAATCTGATTAACCACGAACCAATTTTAATTATTTATGTGATAGAGTCGCTGGTACGAGCGACATGTGTTTACGTGAATTATCATGCATGTATATATACTCGTATATCAATATATATAAAAGCTAATTTATTTATTCGTCTTACTCCTTCATCATTTGTTAGTTAACTGCCAGCTAATAGTTTACATACAGCACATAGACATGTCATACCCCATGAACATCTAAGAACCGCTTTACAGATACTGCTAATTTGCTCTGAAACTACTTGATCTAGACATATAATTTAATAGCGCAATGCTAACCATGCGATGCGGAAGTTATGTAAGCACTATTTGGATTATCGTAAGGATATTTGGATATCCGTAAGAATATTTGGCCATTGGATAGATGACTATGATTTTTATTATCTTATTCTCTTTCGTGCTGAAGGCCTGTCCCTGCAATGGAGTTATTAATAAGGCCGTTGATGATAATTTTAACATAGTTTTGGAAATTATCTTTACTAGCTGTTTTTCAACAGTATTAACAAAACAAACAAACACAAAATGATATCTTTCGTAATTATGTTATATTAGATACACACTAACGCTACCTTAACACTGTATTCAAGCAAAATATCATATATTCGTCTTTACTGTACATATAAGTGTTGATATATGTATGTGTACAATGTGACGTAAACACCTGAAACTTTGGCAGGAGACACAGTCCCAATAATTGACTCTCCGAAAGCGTTCAAAGTTTTTAGTCTGGAGTTTGGAACGGTCTTGAATATTGGTGTGTTAGGTACGTGTGCAAGCGATACTCTGGAGAAAAACGTGAACACTAGAAAATCGTATAACTAACTCTTTGGTGACAGTGAAGAAAATGTTATTAAAAGTGAAACCTTGAAATTGAAATCCTCTTTGGAATCAGGAGTTATTAATGAGGTGTCTTTGACATTACTTATTACACAAGGTGGGATATACTTTTAGATTTTTTGGCACACTTCATTGGTTTATCGATGACAAGTGGAAATAAATAAGAGGAGAATACGTAGGCGTAGTAACTATGTAATCGCTCATTCGTTAAAAATGTTTTGTTGAATAATACTACGAAACGCAATTGTATTATATAGTATAAATTTGTGATGTTTTTAAAATAAATAAAAAACGACATTACGCTAATGTTTCATTCTGTAGACCTTTTATCTATTGAAAGAAGCAGAAAGAAACTCATCAAAAGATGTGCTGATGTAATTAATTGTTATTTTTTCGACATATAATCAGTTTTTTTAAATATAATAGCACTTCTCAATCACAATAGAAATATCAATAACATTTATAATAATGTATTTCATCCAGACAGGCGTATCTGAAATTGATTTGATACTCTTTATTTGGAAATTTGGAAAATTTTTGTCCCAGTTGAAATAAAAAAGGGCGTAATGTGCAATAGCTCTTTCTAAAACAAAACAAACATAAACTCAGCATATAATAGAGTAGAAAAATCTCTCTTTTGAATCGTGACGCATTATACTTGCGTTTTGTAGCAATATTTCGAGAGTCGCCGGCGAGCACCCGGTATTTTTAGCCAAGACGTTTTAGAAAATAAACCGAGAAAATGAGATTACACGCTGATTTATAGAGAGGCACACATTTCATTTCGTAATTAAACAACTCCGTTTGGTTTGCGGATTTCGAAAATTATGAAAAAGAACTTTAAGTTTTTAAAATCAGATTAGCAAATAGTTTCCATACGTTATTTGTTTATAATATGTTAATGTTTATATTGGTAATTAATATCGGATTCAATAACATTTTCATATACAATGTTTTCGCCATTCTTATTCAGTTTATCACAAGTATAATTTAAAAATCAACCAATAAAAGATGAAGGTCGCAATTTGACTGAATTCTTTTGTATTTGTTAAATATACAATATATTAACTATAATATCTATGTCCATAAAATATAACAACAATAAGATTAAACTGATGCGATATGTTATCATAAATAGATCGCTTAACTAGTTTTATTTCTGATAACTACATCCATATGTCGATATTTCTATTGCATACATTTATTCCAAAAAAAAAGTCAATACATATTTTGTTATCGAATAATACTTAAATAAAATCTTTAAAAAATCTTTACTGCCTTTCTTGTAACATAGTTTATTTGTCGTTTTTATTGAATTAATTTCAATATTAAATAAATATATAAATGAATCCATTGGTACATTTATGAAGTTTAATCCTTATTAATGTCATTTTCATAATTATCGCTCTCAATACACACTCCAAAGTATTTCCCTTATACACTTGGCCATATAATAGGGAATTTTGTGATGGCTGCGCTAAAATAGCGAAGGCCGGCCATCTTGGCAACCGCCATGTTTATTTACGAACGCGATGCAACACTGACTCGTCAACACGTGCTTCCATCAATTTCGCCGATTTTATTACAAGTGGAGGGCTATAAATAATTATAAGGATTAATTTAATCTAAAATGGTCATTACCTCAGCCACGAGTTGATTTGACTATTTATTGTAAAATTACATATATTTTTTGCATATCCTTTTATAAAGACATTATATATTTTTGAATGACATTATATATTTTAACTAAGTTTTTTTTTAAGCTATTTTTTTAACTAAGTTTTTTCCGTCTGTCTTTCCCAGATATTCACTTAATTAGGAACTAGTGGTGTAACTGAACAATTAAACATGACATTTTTTTTTCAGAAATATTTATAATTAACTTTGTATATATCTGATTAGTATTGTTAGATTGTAGACCTTAGTTACTTAGTAGTAACTAAGGTCTACAATCTAACAAACAATACAATCTAAGTAGATATGAAAAATATTTTTTAAGTGTTAGTGATTGTTTTCATTTCAGCTGTTTTAAAGAAGCAGTCCACAATAAGAGAAAAACCTGAAAACGGAGTGACAGAAAAGGCAGCACCCGTGGAAGAAAAATTAGTTAAACCTTCTGCCGCTAAACAAGCCGACAAAGCGTCAAAACCAGCTGATGAAAAACCACGATTCACAAAATCCAATCTTAAATCAGCTGATAAACTAAAAGAAGAGCCAATCAACGACAAAGTGCTAGATAAGCCAACACTCAAGACTGTTAGAACTATAGATGACAAAGCTAAAGAAAAGTCTGTCACAATTGTAGATAGAAAAAACGCTGATAACAAAAATGGTACTGCAAAAACTAGTAATACCGTTAATAATAAAGTAAACGATAAATCAAGTGACAAGGTGGTTAATAACAAAGATAATAAACCAGTCTCTAAGGCATCGGACTCTCCAAAACCTGAACCTAAGACACGTGAGTCTAATAAGCCAGCCGTTACATCAAAAGTAGAAGAGAAAACAGAAGAAAAAACAAAAATGGCTACAAAACCACCAACACCTCTAGAAAAGACACCTTCAAAGGTAAACTTAGTTTAAATTACTACAATACCTACCTACTTATATCGTGACCACTAAGAAAGTAGGTAGTATATGTGGCGACTTATTATCCATAAATCGTTACATCAGTGGCCTGTAACATGATTAAATTCCCAGAATTGATGAATGGAATGAATTTCTATATAACACTCGGAATATAACACAGTAAAATACCAAACGTCCTTAGGGTATTTATTTTGTTAAAATATTCAAACACAACCAAAATTGCTGTCCTTTTCAGCATATAAAATGGTTTTTGTCCTTTTTTCATTATCAATAATAAATTGTGAATCATTTTTTAACATTAACTTTGAAAACTTCATTATATAATTTAAAAGAATCGACAAACATCATAAATAGTTGAAAGCGTCTCCACTAGACTCAGAATAAACCCAATTTATGACAAATCTGAGCAACTAAATTCTCTGGCAGTGTGAGTTGTTGTTATTACGGTCGTCTTTTTAGGCCGCAATTGTTTCCTATCCTCACTATTACATAAAAACAGAGTGATTCTTACAAATAGAAAGAAAAAGTAAATAAAATCAGCTCCTCTATTTCTTAGACAACTATTTTAACCTGTAAATCAATTCCAGCTGCCGCCGCGTAAACCTTCTCTTCAGAAACAATCGTCAAAGGATGAGCCTGTGAAAAAATGGAGGGACCCGCTGCACGAGCGAGTGAAGGAGAATATCGACAAGACCCTTGCCAACGAAATACCTAAGGGGCATACTCTCACCAAAAATGAAAGCTTACGGAGTAAGTCGTATGATTTATTTGATATTTTAAGTACTTACTAGCATTCGTTGTTAATATATACTAGGTACAAAGAATCTGAAATAACGTTAGATGTCTTACGGTCATGGTAGATGCATCATGAAGATGAAGTTTCTGTTTAGTTCATGGAATACTTCGTTTTATTATCGCATAGTTTTTATTTAATTAATATCTGCTGCTGCAGTAGTGAAAACAAGGAGTAGAATGAGAACAATCTAGCAACATGGATTCAATGGCGAATGGTTCTTTTCTGTTTATATCAAATAAATGGTAATAAATTTTATGGAAAACTATTTATCTTTTTGAAATTATAAACACTAACTCCTTTGTTGGGTTATCACTCGTTAGAGCATTAGAAAAAGTTTTTAGTAAGAGGACAGGACACATTATCGAATATTACTATAATAGTTGTAAAAATGAATATAAATTATTTTTTATTTAATTATTGTTCATAATAGAATAAAAAGGATAACTATAACATTAATAGAACCAGCACATTGCTCCATTTGTGTGACATCAACATTGACACAGTGACACTTTCACGCTTAAAATTAGACGTCGATCGCAAGTGTAATCTGTTATTTGGATCGATCGTCGATCTTGGCAGGTGTGTGACTCGGCTTATAATGAGATAATTATCTGTAGATAAATAATTTTATTACCTGCAACTGAATACTTTTTAGTAGATAATATTCAGAAAGATAACAACGTCACAATTTAATTTATAATGAGTTTTTAAAATGATTGATTGATAAGATAGACATATGTTTACAGTATACGATTTATAATGAATATAAAAACATGGTTAAGCTTATATTCCACAAAAATAACTGAAAATTAAATAAATTATTATTAAATTGTGTAAATAACATCAAACATAACGATTGACATATTCAAAAGAATTAAAAAAAAGCGCTAGGAAAGAATAATAAAAGGAGATTAAAATTATTAATATAATTAATATGATGATGATAAGAACTAAATCTATGCTGAACAAACTACAAAATAATTATGTACCAGCAGGTATGCGAATTAGAATTCTGATGCGGATATACTGTCATTCGGTATGCTACAAATATAGTCCGTTACCTTTTGATCTCTTGTGCTGCAGTCTAACTATTGGTCTAAATTCAGTCCAAAATAGTGCACAGTTCCGCGTACACCGTGGTGACATCAGGTGTAGAGGTTTCAGACAAATAATTGAAGTGATTTTCAGAATATTTCTGTGCATTGTGATTTATTCGATTATTATGATAGTTAATAATTGAATTTGTGTTTTGGTTGAATTGTTAAGAGTTGCATTTTAAGGATGGAAGATGATGAACAAGGAAATTTATTCAAAGGTCTGGATAATTATCTTTTAAGTTTATATTTTAATGAAACACTCAAGGTATATGAAGGGATATAAATTTAAGTTTATATTGTAAAATAATAAGTCAGCATGTTTACTGTGATTGTGGAAAATGAAATTATATGCAAAAGAAGACATGTGTTTAATACGTCAAGATTTTGTTTCAATAAAGTCCTAAGTTATGAACATTTGAGTACTCAAAACAATCAATCAACCAAATAGGTAGTTTTCATAATCGAATACCGGTTACTGTATAATAAGAAGATAAATTAACGCATAAATTAAATTTATGTTGAGCTTAATAATACAATTGAACAATAAATGTATCTTTATTTTCTGACTAGGCTTACTCAAACCGGCACCACCACCAATGCCGCCTCCACTTCCACCTAAGATGCCTCCTCCACCGGAGTTTAAAAAGGCTCCATTAGATCCCACCAAATTAAAAAAATTGGAGACCCTTCGCAGTCGTCCAAGGAGACGACCTGACTGGAGCGACATGATGAAAGAAGTGGAACAGGGGAAGAAATTAAAAAAAGTAGTCTGTAATGATAGGTCAAGTCCCATCATAACCAGGTCAGCAGTTGTAAAGAACAAGGATCAATTCATTTTTGAATCTGAAAAACCCAATTCGCACAATGAACTACTCAAAGAAATTAACAAAGGTATCAAATTGAAGAAAGTCAAAACCAATGATAGAAGTAAACCTAATTTAGAAGGTCTTAGAAAATTCAGAAGACAGATGACAATAGAAGAACAAGTCCAGAAGTCTATGTCACAAGCTAATATTGCAGCATCACCTTCAGGAGTTTCTGTAGCAGAGGTGAGGAATATTTATGTGAATTTGTATATCCATGTATGAAAATATCAATAACAGGGAAAATTTTTTTTTGTCTATCAGGTAGATATTTATTATTTTTTTGGTAATCAATAAATTGCATAGATGCCTATTATCCAAATTGAAGTATTTTACAATTTATCTAATTTAATATATTAATATTCTTTGAGTAATAGATTAAATAATAATTCTTTATTTCCCAGACTTTATCTCGATTATAATAAGAAAAAACTTTCATTTTTTTAATGTCATAAACTATTACTTTTGTAACACATTGAAATGAGATTAATTTTACTCGTAATTTGAAAGGAATATGTATAATTTCAGGTTCCTGGAGCGGAAGAAGAAGAAATTGATGAAATGGATGACATTGATAAAGTTAGAGACGACCTCCAATCTACAAAGCAACTCTTGGCCATTGAACTAAGGTAAAATAAAATTATAACCATTTAGGATCTAATAAAATAACAAAAGGCATTACGTTTTTCGATACTTTGTTAATATTATTATCTTAGCTTACACTAAAATTAAATGCTGATCATCATTAAGCATATCCAAACAACTACAATGATTTGAAAATTGAGAAAGCTGTAGTAGTGTAGTTTTGTAGGGATTCAGTTGATTTATCAAAATGTGTTGTTGATTACAGAAATAAAGAAGCGCAAGAGAGAGAAAACAAACGTTTAATGACGAGGATAGCCAATTTGGAAGCAGAATTAGCGAGAGAACGAGCCATTATAAAACAAGAACAGCACAAAACTGTTATATCTGTCACAGATGCGTATGATGAAAGATTGGTTAATAACCTTAAAATGGAGGTAGAGAAAACCAAGGAAAACGCAGACAGTTTGGAAAAACAATATTTAGATGCAGCAGAAGAAAGGGACACAGCGTTAACAGAATTGGAGGAAGTGAAGAGAAGGAACGCTGAGCTAGAAAAGAAATTAGAACAAGCATTAGCAGTAAGTACAATACTTTATCTGCACTTAATAATAAAGATTTTGGGATTAAATTTTATTTATTGGCGATTTTTATATATGTAGTAACTGTAAGTTGTTTTTAACAGAGTTACTAGGTAAATGGCAAATATTTATGAGCTACCGATATAAGTAGATTGTACAAAAATACATGTTTACTTGTTTAGGGTATCTTTAAACACGTTCTCGTTTATTACATTAATATTATAATTGTATCATTTTAATTTATATTATAACATTCTCAATGAAAATACTTTATAATTCCACTTTGTCCCTGGTAGTCTGAAATGAGACAAAGTGGATTTTTTAAACATTTCCACTAAGAATATTTACCAGTATAGCATTTTAAATGCAAAATCGACCAAATATAATAATTATATTATAACGCTTTTACTAACACAATTGCAGAGAAACCTTGAAGATATGTATATTTCAGAAGAACCTCTTTCATTTTATCAGAGAAGGCAATTAGATTTTGAAAAGCAATGTAGATTGTTGAACATAGATATTAATTCAGAGGAAGCAAAAAATTTGCAAAGGAGCAATATTGACAATAATAACAACTATGCTTCTAACGCTTATACTAACAATTTCGACGCTACATATGAGGTAACCATTACTTAGTTGTATGCATAATTATTGTTTTTCATGTTATCTGTGTGCTGAGTAACTAATAATATTCGTGAGCATGCTATTTCAATATTATTTAGAGATAATTATATCTTAACAATTTAATCATGAAATTAAACTGGTTATTAAACTGTAAGCGTAACTAATACCATAAAAACCTAAGACTATATTCACATTAGCGTTATAGCTAATCCTTAATGATTGATTCAAGTATACAGTGTATTATGCTGAACAGAAGAATTTAGTAAAGTATTTGTAGTTAGTTAAGTAGTATTTGTAATTGAGTAGTAGTAGATGAAGATGAAATTTTCAGAGAATTTAACACCATTTATTCACGTACACACACAGATACATAAGTAAGATAAAATATTTCTTACTGGACGACACACGGTTGCATAATTTGCCCTCTTTTTATTTATATAATAATAATATAGTAAAGTAACTCACGGTTTTAATAATTGTGTTAGCAAAGAAAAAACGCACGAAATCGCACACAAATATAAGAGTTCCCTACAATGTGGTAAACATTATAATTAAAAATATTTAGATGCAGCAGAAGTTATAATTAAAAACTGTGAATTGAATTTTTAGGGTATCATGCCTACAAACGTTGGATCGAGGAGGTCAAGTCACGCCATCAGACAATTATCTATTACCAAGGATGATAGTTTCGAAGAAGAAGAAGAATCTGATGAGGATGAGGTAGTTTTTATATTATTTGTAATAATACATTTGACTAGCAAACATAATATAAAATTTTACGTAACTTCTTAAATCCAATTAAAAATATTGTTAATAATTACTTGTTGATTGATGTCCGGATTTTTCATATTACTGGATTTGTAGCCATTTTTCACAAAATAATTTTTATTGAAATTATTATTTCAGGAAGAGAGTGAAGAGAAGAAACAGAAACGAATGGAGAAGGAGATCAGAAACATGAGAAACAAAATAAGACACTTGAAAGAGAAACAAGATAACATGAAGAAAGAACGAATGGCCTACAAAATGTCTCTGAAGAATCAACAAGCAGCACTCAAGTCAGTTTTCTTTTTCGGTTCTGTTATATTTTTAAAGCTTTTTTACAACTCTAGGCATGCTATTTGGAATACTTTGACTTCCTTCAAACCTTCATACTAATTTCGATCTTAATTATTTAGTTGTAAGTAGTTTTAGTTCAAAAAATAAAATATAAAGAATATAACATTCTGTCTGTCTTTAATTTGTTTTGTTTTTAATTCTGAAGGTTGCACGTCTTCAGCATGTTAATTTACAGTCTTCCTATTTCATACTCCTACTCCTAACCGATGATAAGAGATATTTACAATTTAATAGGTTAGTATTTTTCATGAATTCACTGGTTGTATTCATTCTTGCTAACATTTTTAAAGTTAATCCATCTTATTGCTTTTTTAAAAATAAGGATGGTTGACATTTTATGGGCTACTCTTGGCATACTTAAGAAAAGCTTAAATTAAAATATGCTTGGAATACCTTCGATTAGCCTTCCATGAACTTCGAATTTAATACAATATTATATATTATAGAGAGGAAAAACGAAAATACAAGGAGTTGAAACATGAAGTAGACAAAATGGCACAGATGATGAAGGAAGCTGGTTCAGAAGACGAAGAAGACGAGGAATCTGAAGAGGAAGAGGAAGAAGAGAAAAAGAGTGAGACGGAAGATGAGGAATCTGAAACGGAGACTGAGCAAGACACCGAGAGTGAAACTGAAAGCGAAAGTGAACCCGAGGTACTATTTCAATAGCTTTTTATTAAAATTCTTAGATTTTTCCCCAACTTACGGCAAAAGAGCTCTGTAACAAAGCACCCAATGTTATTGAGTAATAAATGCACCCATTTGTGTCAATTCATAGAGTAACATCACAATTTTCATATGCTAGTTGACGTTGATACGTTTCCCACATATCTATTATTTTTTAATTATTTGAATGCAAGCAGTTTGCTATTTGGATTCTATTTACTTTCATTATTTTACTTGAATGACAGCACAGATATTACAAAATTATGAATGTTTTAAATTCTATTAATTCGCAGGACGCACCATTGCCTAAAAAGAAAGAGAATCTTTCGAAACGCGTTAAGCGGCACGAGACAAGAGTCAATGCTTTGAAGAAAGGTAACACTCTTCTGATGGCAAACGTCGATCGCCTCAAAGATGATGTGCTCAAACAAAGGGAGGAATCCGTTACACTACAAAAGGAACTAGACTCTCTCATAGACGATTTAGAGTAGAAGATTGCAGATAAAATAAAACCAACGTGTAGCTTTTAATTTAAAAATAACTTATAAAATATTATTCACAACATACCTACATATAATTCAAACATCTTTTTTTAAATAACCGATTGCTTAAACTCTAGCGCACTTGATTTATATATTATTTAGTTAAGAAATTATTTTTAACAGCTTTGAAGCACCGTTGATTCATTACCACGAGCTCTTAAAACGATACAAATGAAAAATTCTAATTTGTTTTTTTATTTCATCATTTATAAATTCTTAGAAAACTTTTATTTTTAATAAGACAGTAACACCACATATGCTGTTTTAGATATACGGTGTTCCTGTCTTATTTTTTATTATTATTTAGCTTTTCAATTTTTAAATCCTTAATTCTAAATTATTGTTTTTAGTGGAAGAATTGGGATTTCTAATTATAATAACGGCATTAGTATATATCGTAGTCACGAGCTTTTGGAAAGACTTTTCATAACATATCACTTTGATTTATCTAAGTAGATCAGTGTGCAGGCATTCGTGTTTTTGACGACATTAATCTAATCATTCCGGTGATTTACGTCGCACAGTAGGTACTTTTTATTATGTGTCAACATTCATAAAAAAAATATTGTGGTCTCTCTTGCTGGTTTTAATACACCAATGCTTTAGACTTTTGGCTAAAATATATTATCTGTCTCAAAATAAAAATAAAATGCTTGTTATGGCATTGATATTAAATGCATGTCATTGAAAAGTTCTACATTGTTATCAATCTTCTTAATTTTATCGATATCTCGATGACTTTATTTTTATAAAATCATTAATTTGATATTATTAACGTTTGTTTTGTTTAATAAAGTGATTTGTACATAATATTAATTTAAGCTTAAATATAAAAATTTAATTAATTATAATGTAATCAATATTCAGCACAATAAATTTTCACTGATATAATTGTTGGTGTTTTATTTAGTTCTTGGAATTCTAGTTATTGGCTAGCATAGTAGGCATAAGCAACATTTCTACGTTACCCTGTAAATAACTTGTTTAACTGATATCGTTTTTATTCAACTCAATATTTTATGATTATGATTATGTGGAATTCCTGCGGAACTCGTTACTCGCCCGCCAAAGGGCTAGTCAAAGGGTAGAACAGTCCAAAGACAATTTTCTAAAATAAAGTACATACCTAAAATAACGTATACAAAGTCTGCATGCATTAAGGTAATAACGAAACTTTATCGGGTATATATATATATATATAAAAACTAAAAAAATAGAACCGACTTCAAACGTTAAAAAAGCGATAAATAATACTTAACTCAAAAGCGAATTATACAAGAAAATACTATTTTTATTTCATGCTTTTTAGTGATATCGATATTTTTTATATAATACGTAACACTAAAAATATTAAATATCTACCTACATAAATAAAAATATTCATATTTCGCTAAATCTTAGAAAAAGAGGTTTTGCTTTCACAATGTTGTATTGTTGATTGAAGTTCACAATTTAAGAAGAAATCGGTGAACATATAAATCATCCTATAAGATTTTGAATGAATTTAAAATACGCAATCCTTTGTTTATTTTAGCTGAAATAAATATATCATCTTAATATTTAGGTGATATCTGGTGAAAATTACTGATTAGATTTTAATAAATTTAAATGAGACTACCTCGATCCATTAAGGTGTTGAATGAAACCAAAATACAAACAAGTCTTTCCTCTTGAAGTATATAAAAGTCTTCATACTTTCAAAGCCCTAAAAACTTTGAACTTGTGCTGCAAGGTTAAAACCGCCATCTGTACTTAGGTACCTACATGAATTATGCAGGCAATTTAGCAAGTACCTATTTAAAACTTACAGAAGTTAAAAACATACATAAAACATTTTATTTAAATTGTTAATAACACTAAAATAAAAATAAAATTAACAATTTAAATTGAACATATTAATCCATTTCCATATCTACACACTTTTTAAGATATTTTACAGAGATAAGTATTAGAGTGTCCGACAAATAACCAAAAAAAATTTTTTTTTTTTAAATATAGGAATGCAGTACCCATATTTTTTATTTGTTTTAGAACATACTTAATTATAAAATTTGTTCCAAGTTCAATGTTTAAAAAAATCGCGTTTTATCCTGATATTTTATTTTGCTATATAAAATACAATTTACGCATTATTAATTAAAAATATTAACCTGAAATTAATATTTTTAATGAAAAATACCTTTAAAAATTTCAACAACCCGAGGTACACTGTGGTGGGACTCGAAACAACGACCTTTTTCAATTTCGCCCGGATTTTTCGATTTGAATGTATACCTCGGATTGCTGTTTTGGAACTTCAGAAAATTTATTGATAGTAGTATAATTTGCTAATTTATTTTTGTTTCTTGTGCTTTATGTAAATATTTTGTAACTCAGAATATTGTGCTGAGCAAATATAAATGTTTACAGGTGTAATGAAAAAGATAGTACCTATTAAAAACTTATACTTCTAAATACTGGTGGATTAGGTCCTATAGAGCCAAGACTCCTGTAGAGCGACTACAAGCGAACGTTTACTCTAATCTAATTGCAATACCTATTAGTACAGAGTACTTCCAGCTGAAAAACGAGCCGAGCAAGGTATAATGTACAGAGGCTATTTGTCCCTTACTAATAAGGCGACAATAGATAACATTTTAAGTAAGTGAGACTTTTGATATGGTTCAGTTTTTTAACTACTGCGGTTATTATCGTACACAATAATCTTGTTAACTTTTTGTTACAATAAAAACCTATATTTTTGTTATGTATTTTAGATATATATAGGCTTTTCGTGCAATTCGCGCACGAATCGCGTGCCCTTATAAAATATATAGAGAATCGCAAGTGTTACCTCATGAGATTGTATAATTTGTCAATATCGGTCACAAATCGGACTCATAGTCTGCGATATCAACGTGGCCGCTTACGATGGGCCTCATAAGGAAGCTCGAGGTCGCTCAGAGGGCAATGGAAAGGGCTTTGCTCGGGGTTTCTTTGCGATATCGAATCAGAATTGATGAGATACGCAAAAGAACGAAAGTCACCGACATAGCCTAAAGAATTGCGAACCTCAAGTGGCAGTGGCCCAGGCGCATCGCTCGCAGGAGTGACGGCCGTTGGGGCGGTAAGGTCCTGGAGTGGCGACCGCGTACCGCGAGACGCAGCCTTGGTGCCCACCACAAGGTGGACCGACAATCTGGTAAAGATCGTGGGAAACCGCTGGATGCAGGAGATCTTTGGGGGAGGCCTATGCCCAGCAGTGGGCATATCTCGGCTGAAATGATGATGATGATGATTGACATAAAAGAATTTTTACGCGTAAACAGTGTTACCAGCACCTAACAAAATAGATCCCTAAAATCAAACTCAAATAACCCTAAATAACACTGAATGGTATAACCAAAAGCCCCCAAAAAAAAGCCCAGTCCTGCTTAATTAACCACCCACAGATTTAATAGTATTGCTTAAAAAGTTTTTTGTTTTATTAAGGTGAACACAATACACTTCAGTTTTGATTTAATTAACTTTATTAGTTTTAATTACTTTATAAAAAGTCTATAATTTTATAGGTTCTACTTCTTCACTTTGGAAAATTACAAAAAAGCCTGACAACAGGTCAGGTAAGAACAGGTTTAGTTAGTTTATTTCCGCCCTTAATTTGGGGCTAAAAGCCCTAAGTTGGTAAGCCTGCGCGTAAAAGCCATCAAAAGGACTTTTTGGCGGGAAGTCAAATAGAGCGGCAGCTTTAAAATTTCCTGTTATAGTAAATTAATCTTTTATTGGTTTTTGTTGACTAAAAACATCGTAATATTGTTGTTTGTCGTCGAGGATGGGTTCCCACAGCGATGGGGAGGACCTAGCAGCAGAAAAAAAGAAGAGAAAGTATGGAGTTATATCCAATGACACAAGTAAGAAACAAAATGATAAATATAAAATTTACACCAAACCGAACTACAAAAGGCTTTTTTCTGAAAATAACACAGGAGAATTCACCGTGTACGTTGAGTCCACGGAACAAGAAAAAATAGGAAATAAAAATCCTATTACATTGACGAAATTATTTACTGAACATGTTAAAGGTATAACTGGCGTACACAGAGTAAACGCACACAAAATTGGAGTTTCTTTTAAAAAAGCTTCCTCGGCAAATTATTTCCTAAAAATGGAAGACTTTTTATACAAACATAAAATGAAGGCGTTCGTACCATCTTATCTCACAGAAAAAATCGGCGTACTTAAGTTTGTCCCTAAAGATATGTCGAACGAGGAGATATATAAAAACATCGTATGTGACGCAGAAGTGATCTCCATCAAACGATTTATGAAAAAATCTAACGATACCCTCACACCTCTGACCACAATTGCCGTTACATTCGCAACAACATCCTTGCCTCAGTATGCGTATATACAATTATTCAGATACCAAGTACACCAGTACGTACCTCCGGTCTTACAATGTTTCAAATGTTTGAAATTTAATCACTCTGCTAAAGTGTGTAGAAACATCCAAATGTGTTCATCGTGTGCTGGTCAACATTCTTACAAGGAGTGTGACGTCGAAGAAATTGTTTGCATTAACTGCAGTGGTAACCACTTGGCCATTTCAAGAGACTGCCCCATAAAAAAACAAAAAATTGAAGAATTAAGGAAGAAGTACAATCAGCAAAACTATGCCACTGTGGTGAGTTCTCCCCCACCCAAAAATGACCAAACATACCCACCACTTACAAATATAAACAATAATAAAGACCATTTTGATATTAACTTTATAGCTAATAACGAAATCATTATCAATGCCATTGTAAAGTCTCTTGTAGCTCTAGGCAATGACCGTGACAAAGCACCTTTGACTTCAAAGAAAATAAAGGATACATTTTTGGGTTACTTAATTTAATGGATAGTTATATACATATATGTCAGTATAATATACAAAGTTTACTGAGCAAAAAACCTTTATTACAAAAGTTACTAATTGAAAAAGATATTGATATTTGTCTCTTAAATGAAACCTGGCTTACAAATTCTTCCAATATTCCGAACTTTTCAAATTATAATTTTATTTACAAAAACTCTATAAATACACATAATGGTGTAGGTATTCTAGTTAAACATGGTTTGAAATATGATATTTTAAATACAAAGTTTCATGAAAGTATTCAGAATATAGCCATTAGCCTTAAAACACAATCAGGTGATATTTCTATTCTCTGTGTATATTGTCCACCTAATAGTAATAGATTTGAAGGTAATAAATTAAAAAACATTGTAAATAGATTGCCTAAACCTTGCATTATCATGGGTGATTTTAATGCACATCATATAGCCTTTGGTTGCCACAGTAACAATAATAGAGGCAATAGTTTGTTCAACATAATAGATGAATCTGAATTATGTATTTTAAATGATGGTACTCCAACTACATGTCCTTATCCTAATAGAAATGCTTCTGCCATAGATTTGTCACTTGTCAGCCCCTCCATAGCCCACTTATGTAATTGGCACGTCCAGGATGATCCCATGGGTAGCTATCACTATCCAATTTCCCTTCATTTAAACATCCAACCATCGCTGTTTGAATTTGGTCCTGTTGAAGAAAAATATCTCTATAGTAAAGCTGATTGGGTTAGATATTACTCACAGTCAGAGACATGTTTCTCTGAAATAGATATTGAATATGAAAATCCACTAGATATGTATAACAAATTTGTAAATATTTTAAATGACTTAAGAGAACTAACTATACCTAGGAAAAAGGGAAATGGTCAGCTTCAATTACATAAAAAACCAGTCCCTTGGTGGAATAAAAAATGTGATGATGCAATATGTAAATCAAGGCAGGCATTAAGGAATTACAAAATGAATCCATCTATTGATAACTTTATTGAATACAAAAAGGTAGATGCCCTCAAAAAACGAGTAATAAAAGAAGAAAGTAGGGAATCTTGGAAAAAACTATGCAATAGTTTTAACAGACTAACACCTATTTCTAGGATATGGCAGTATATTAAAAAGTTTAAAAGAATTGGTAGTCCTGATAATAAACATTTTGAAGATGGATGGATTCTAAGTTTTATTAACAATTTGTCTGATTCCACTGAAATCAATGAAAACAGAATTTTCAGCTTATTCCATATTGCTGAAGAAAATTCTTTAAATTCCTTTCTAAATCAACCATTTTCTTTTAATGAGTTTACTAAGTCACTACAAAGCAGGAAAGACACAACACCAGGACTTGATAATATACCATATATATTAGTTAAACATTTACATAATAATGCACAACAGATTTTATTGTATATATATAATAAATTGTGGCAATACTGTATAGTACCGGAATCTTGGAAAACTCAATGTGTCATTCCAGTTTTAAAGCCAAATAAACCACACAGTATTCCCTCTTCTTACAGACCAATATCGTTATCATCCTGTTTAGGAAAATTATTTGAAAACATGCTCAAGTTACGTCTAGATTATTTCTCAGAAACCAATAATTTGATTCCTCCTATTCAGCATGGGTTTAGAAAAGGTAGAAGTTGCTCTGAGAGTTTTGTATCATTTATACAGGATATTAAAAATGTTAAACTAAGCCATTCTAACATGATCTGTGTTTTTTTGGACATTAAAGGTGCTTTTGATAATGTCAACATTGAGGAACTTGTTCAAATTTTATGTGATATAGGTATGCCAAAAAAAATATTACAATGGCTTCACACCTTCTTAAATAACAGAACAGTCTATGTAAAATACAATAATAAATTACATGGTCCTAAAGTTGCTAATAAAGGAACAATGCAAGGAGCAACACTGTCTCCTTTATTGTATAATTTGTATACTTCAGAAATACTCAAATTTGTTAATACTGAAAATGTAAATATACTACAGTTTGCTGATGATCTACTCTTGTATAGCATTAATCAAGATTTGGATGTAGCCCAACAAAATGTCAATACTGCCTTAAAACAGTTACATTCTTATTATAACAATAAACTTAAGCTAGATATTAGTCCAGAAAAAAGTTCTGTTTTAGTCTTTAGTAGAAATAGAAATAATATAAAAATTTCATATGATAATATAGAAATTCCTGTTGTTAATGAACATAAATTTTTAGGTATCATTATAGACAACCAACTAAAATTTGATAAGCACATAAATTATATAAGTGCAAAGGCTATGAGAGCAATAAATATTCTAATGCCCGATTTCACCAACGTCCCCTAAATTAAGGGGACCCCTAAACCTGGTTAGGGGACCCCTAACCACGTTATTGCGTTTCACCAACGCTTAGGGGCCCCCTACGGTTCTAAAAGGACTTCTAAGTTTAGGGGACCGAATATTCAGCCCATAACGTTATGTGACAGTTTATAAGAGCGTTTATTTAGGAGATAGTGGTCGGTTACGCAGAGTTAAAATATTTGTTATTAAGTTTAGAGAATGGATACCGAATTATTTGATTTTGTAGAAAGTTTTGAAATTTCCGATTTATTATTAGAAAATACATTATTTAGACGCCAGCGTATAATACGGGAACGACCGGATTATTTCAATAAATACGACAACGTGGATTTCTTTAAACGATATAGATTATCAAAGAATAGTGTTTTATTTATATTAGAAAAAATAGAAAAGGATTTGGAGTTTCATGACAATAGGTAAGAAATGTTTTTACTTTGATAGTCACGTATTTAATGATTATGAAATTCAGTCTACATAAAACAATAAGATAAGGTTATTCTTCAATTAAATATAAACAGTTAAAAGCTCATTTGTTTTCAGGAATCATTCAGTGCCACCAATAAATCAACTACTGATAACATTACGTTATTATGCAACGGGTTGTCAGCTTTTGGCTGTAGCCGATTTGGGAGGCATCAGTATTGCTACCAGTAGTAGAATTATAAAAAAAGTTTCAGAGGCTATAGTCAAATTAAGAGGTGAATTTATACTATTTCCCGAGACTCTGGAAGACCAAGAAAAAATAAAAGGGGAATTTTATAATATTGCCAGATTTCCAAATGTATTGGGTTGTATAGATTGTACTCATATCAAAATACAATCACCAGGTAAATAACACAAAATATCCTAAAATTGAAGGATTATATGATAACTTCCTAAAATATATATTGGTATTCATTTTAGGAAGTGACGATGCAGAGCTGTTTAGAAACAGAAAATCATATATGTCAATAAATGTTCAGACAATTAGTACTGCACAACTTCTAATAACTGATGTTGTGGCACGTTGGCCAGGTTCCACACATGATGCTATAATCTATCAAAATAGCCAAAGATTCAGGACACTTGAAAGAGGCGATTATGGAAGTGCTTATTTACTTGGTGATAGTGGATATCCACTTAAAGTAAATGATGTTATAGTTTATATTAAATAATAAGAAAATAATAGTTGTCATACTTTATTTTTAAAGTTACTTATAATTTTGTTGTGTTTGAAATTCTTGTAGAGACTGAAGAGCAAGCTTTCCATCTGAAATAAAACAATTTAGTTTGTGAAAATCTTTAAAATATATATATTTTTTATTATCTTACATATATAAAAATAACTTTTTTTTTCAGTTTCATTTGTTAACACCATATTTAAATCCAACAAATTTAGGCCAGCAGAAATACAATGAAGCTCATATTAAAACTCGCAATGTGGTTGAACGGCAGTATGGTGTTTTAAAGAGAAGATTTCCTGTATTAGCAGTTGGAATAAGATTAAAATTGGAAACAACAATCAATGTTATTCTAGCTTGCTGCATATTGCACAATATATGCATTCTACGAAAGGAGCAAGAACCATATGATGAACATTTGGTTAATTTAGAACGACTGATACAAGAAGGGCAAATTAATCAACAAGTGAATGGATTAAATTCAGTTTATGGCTTCCGGAGAAATCAAATAACTGAATATTTTTTAAATTTGCCATAAACTTAGTCTTTGGTTGAATAAATATGAATTAAAATTATAAACTTGCCTTTTATTTGTTTCAAAACTTCAGTTTTTATTTCCAAATCTTTCTCTGCAGACTTTAATTTTATCTGGTACAATTCCCTTTTAAATTCAATTTCTTCAGTTAAAAGTTGATGTTTTAACTCATCTATGCTCAGCCTTTTTTGGTTTAAGTCTCCATAGCTTGCACATAGCACATTTGCTACCTCAGTCCTCTCATTGGTTTGATTAATTATTGGCCTCCGTCTTCTTGCCCAAATTGGTGTACTAATGGGAGAGGCAGGAGCAACATTTTTATTAAGCTGAAATTTGGTATATATTAAAACAATGACATTAGTCTTAAATAATGTTTCCTACATAGGGAGATTTTATTTTACTCACTTGTATGTCATCAGTTGCCATCAAGTTGATGACATTGTCATGTAAAGGCTCTTTACTCATTAGAAATTCTGTTTCCTAAAATAATAAAATAAAAATTATGTTAATAAAAATTGTTACCATTTAACTTATCAGTTATATAAATTAAAATTAAATTAATTCTAACCACTAAATCTGCTGTTGAATTTGTGTTCTGCTGGATAGCTGCAACTGGGTTTATTAGATCAGTGGGCTGAAAAGAAAATCATATTATTTGGTTATTGTTTTCTTTGTATTATTTAAAATAACTATGACCGTATAGACATACCAATGGACTTATTACATTTTCTATATTCACTGTCAATGGTAAATCTGCATCACTATCATTTATATTTAAAATGCCAGTACAAGCCCGCCCCATAATACTACAGACTTGTTCCAAAATGGGATCAATTTTGGTAATACAAGGACCTCCTCCTGTTTTATTGAAATTTTCTCTCAAATTACTTTTATACAGTTTAGCTTCTGTTTTCAATTTTTCCCAAACTCTTAATAGAGACTCTTTTGATCTGTAAATATTAAAAAATATGTATAAATATCTTAAATAACAGTTGTACATTTTTAAATTGGAAATTAGCAATGATTATCTGGATATTTACCTGTGAGTCGTAGCAGAACTGTTGAATCTAGCTGCAACTGAGACCCAAGCTTTTGTTTTTGCTTCATTTGTAGTCCCATCAGTTCTCTTATTTAATATAGTATCTTTATACATAGCCAGGATCTTAACTAGTTTATCCTTCTCTTCAAGAGTAAAATTTTGACTGCGTTTCCTTTTATCACTCATTGTCAAATTTCAACTAAACACTAGGTGCAGGGAGAAAATATGACGTGATGTGATTGTGAATTTGAATTGTATAAACCTTTTTCAAGTATTCCCTAACTTTTAAACCAACTGGCCGCATTACTCCCCACTTTTCACTATTGTATTGAAAAAAGGTATGCTTGTACCTTTTTCAATACAATACTTAAAAAATAAACAAGGAACAAAAGGTAGACATACAATACAAGGATATTAACAAAAACCTTAAAACACTAAAATCTATTCACGAAGATTCACAATAACAAATTCGTAATAAAGGTTCCGACAAAAACAATGGTTTTGATGTGAAAGTAATACACAAACCGTAAAGGTTTTTAGTTGAACAGATGGCCTACATCTGTGCATTGTTTAGTACTCTGTTTGAGATTTGCTGATAACACCTCTTGGATATTAAAAAAATTAACACTAAATTTAAATAAAAAATAAACATACATCACAAAATTGACAATAATAGTAGTACAGTCATTTCGACTTTTTATAAAACATTGTTTATTACGCAAAGGAGTTCAATTATCCAGCCCTAACTTATGAAAAAGTCGTTATCGTTCTTTATTTTTACTTCACATATGACCCGTATGTAGAAAACCAAAAATTATTATATTAATTGATATTACAATACATTGACACAGCTTCAATCATATTTTATACAGACTCAAAATAATAATCGGTTAAAAGTTACGGTTGTCACATCCTTAATAATGAAAAAAATCTGTCACATACATATGGGTCCCCTACTAAGGGGTCTGTTCAGTTGGTGAAACATATTCTAATGTAGGGGATCGTTTAGGGGTACTTTTATTTTAAGGGACACATAGTTATGTAACAGTTTAGGGGACGTTGGTGAAATCGGGCATAAGACACTTAGCTGGAACATTTTGGGGTTCTGATCCTAAATCTATGAGCATGCTATACAAGAGTATAATGAGAAGTCATTTTGATTATAGCTGTTTTGCATATATAAATGCTAGTAATACTCTTTTAAGAAAGTTGGATGTAATACAGAATATAGGCCTGAGATTAATTTGTGGAGCAATGCGTTCTACTCCCATCAACTCATTAGAAATTGAAACATGTGTACCTCCACTGTTCCTAAGGCGACTTCAGTTGGCTGAGAAGTTTAGTCTTAAAATCTTGTCTTCCAGTAATCTCCTCATTGAAAAGCTGAATAGAATGTCTAATGTTTACCAATCAATGGCACATCCTCATATTACATTAGATAAACTTTTGGCAGGTCCTGAAATAGTTACAATATTTACACATGTTAAAAATAGCTGTCTAAACATACATAGATCTGAAATATGGCCTCTATATACATGTACATACAATAGTTTAATTAACGGTAGTAATAACTATCACTTAGATATTATTAGCAATAAAAAAGAGTTTCTTGAGTTTAAAAATAATAAAGCTGATCACTATTTTATATATACGGATGGGTCAAAAGATGACAATGTTAAATCAGCCTTCTATGACCCCAGAGCTAACTACACAAAGTGCATAAAATTAGACAGCCATTGTAGTATTTTCACAGCAGAAAGTTATGCTCTACAGCAAGCTTTAATTTATGCAAATAACCATGTAAATAATGTAAATATTGTACTAGTGTGTGATTCCAAAAGTGTATTATATTCTTTATCTTATGGTCTATCTTCATATAAAGTCAATTATATATTGTGTAACATAATTAAATTGATTGAACATCTTAATAGAAAAGGCTTTAATGTAGAATTTGTATGGGTTCCCTCACACAGTGGCATAGAGGGGAACGAGATAGCTGACAGTCTTACACATATGGAACATGATGAAGATCATAGCAATATTCTGTTAGTGCCATTTACTGATTATTACGGGTTTTTTAAGGAAAACGCAAGAATGCTTTGGAGATCGTACTGGGAACTGACATTACAGACTAAAGGCAAGTGGTATGCTGAAATACAGAGAAACTTACCCGTCAAGCCTTGGTATGAAAAATCCAAGTCCTACTTGAATAGAAAATTTATCACAGCCTTATCCCGTATGCGTCTTGGTCATTGCCTTGTACCAACTCATCTTACAAGAATCAACGTCCTAAGCAATGCCCAATGTTTCTACTGTACACAAGATAACGCAGACCTTCAGCACATCATTTTCAGTTGTCCAAATTTCAATATTCAACGGTTAACGTTGACATGTGACGTTAGTGACATCTGTGAACGACTAAAACTAAACAGTGTACCCCGCCGCGTTCAAGAATTATTAAGTAACCCTGAATTTTTTAAGTCGCTGTACATATTCATAGAAAATACCATTGAAAAGATTTAAAACCTTGTAAATACTATTGAAAAGATTTAAAACTTTTAATAAGATTTTAATCAGTTGTTTTTAAATGTTCTAATATCTATTTGTTATAATTTTAAAAAGAAAATAATAATAATAATAAGAATTGTCATCAGATAATGTTATTCCAAACTTTGTAAATAGCTTCTAATATGTTGGAAATTATTTTCCTTTTCATTATTTTTTGTTCTCTTATTTTGAATATGTAATTCAATTTTTAATATGTATGCAACTGATGGACTTGTATCCAGGTTAAGAAATAAATTAAAAAAAAAAAAAGCCATCAAAAGTGATATTCACTGAGTTGAGTGTCAAGTATGTAGGGATGAGCAAGTAAAAAATATATCGATAAATATTGTATCATAGCAATATCGATATAAATATAAACTGTTTGACGTTTAAGCGTTATTTTGCTCCAAGATTAGTTTGTTCCTAAAATATTCAATGCAAGATTGCTAAATTGAAATATAGAATAAATAAAATAAAACAAGTTTATCGCTTCTCTTTTTTTATTTGGTGTCAGTGACTAAAGACGTTAGTGAGTATGTGTATTTTTTGCAAAAAAGCCTACGAAAAGTATATATTTGGACATATAGAACATATTAGTTTTTGAAAATGGAATTACAAAACTAAGTGATCTTGGCCATTCAACAAAATGCATAAATTGTATTATGATAATATAATTAACTTTCATTCTGTTCACATTACTAATGAAAATAGTGGGTAATTAATAAAACCGATAAATAAAGCCCTCTCCATAAGATTCCGTAATCATTGGTTTTTCTTAGATTTTATTATAGTAACTTGTGGCTTTATTACATTTTTATATTATGTATTTATATTGTCTAATAAAAACGTTTGGTTACAATCAAAACTTTATTTTAATAAATGATCTACAGTACAATCAACAGCACGTCAAGTTATATAAATCTGTCAAATTTCTCCACTTGATTTTGAAGCCTAATATTTTGTAAGTAGGATTTAAAATCAATTGGATAAATATGACATAGTGTGGTAAATTTACATGCAGTCGTGTGTATATTTGTAAAGTTTTCAATGTGTATAAAAACTGGCACAGATTTTTTTGGAAATTGCAAGCAATCGTAAACACTATGGAATGGATGTTCGATACAATCAGACTGCACAGTCAAACCGCTACAGTATGTCTTTAAACATAAACCGGTCCATGTTTTCTCATGGACTGGACCGGATTATGTTTTCTCATCAATCTGAAATTTCTGATTTTACTCAGTTTTTTATCGAAGATATAATAATATATAGTCGCAATATGGTGTTTAAATTAAGGACAGGAAGGCATTCAAAAAAGAAGAATTGCTAGATCAGAATTGCTACGCATCGCTGTAGAAATTCATCATTGCCTATGTTGATATAGCGCGTCGTTAATGAACGTAATTTTACAGGATATGGAAAGGAAAAGAAGAAGGATGTAAAAGCCTGACCAGAAAAATAAACAAAAACCTACTATGGAGGCGTCACATTTTCTTTTAAAGTGTAACAAGTGAATGCAATGTGAATTGGTTAGCTTATTATTATTATTTTAAGTGACTACTTTAAATGTTATATTGATGACATCGTTATTTATTAAATACAATGTAACCTGGGCCCCAATTTTGATATTTTTAGGTAATATCAGATTTTCATAATATTGATTCGATCAATCTCTATTCGGTAACTTCAAGCGATCGTGGACACAATTGTAAACAAGTAGCATAACAAATCAAGCAGCATGTCACGTTCACACTTGTTACGGCACCGTTGAGCACGGGAAAATAAACCGTCGTGTAATTAACTAACATGCTTATTCACAAGCATGGTCTTTTCGTATGCTTCGTGTTCTTCACAAATTAAAGTCTATTAAAAACGTGCCAAAATATACACAAGAGTATGGAAACAACCTTAACTGTAATACGCTCTCTAAGGTTTGAGTCCTATGAATATTGCTATTTCACTCACTCACAAATTCAAACGCCTACATCGGTTCAATTCTATTAAGATGCGATACGGTTTGATTGCGACCTATAACTATCGGCTACTAGCCTTTCAAAAAATATATAATTTCTATGCGTATCTATATCGAATATTACGATATTGATATAATACACCTTACAGTATATATACGATTTATATCGCCTACTCTTACAAGGCGAGGTTATTTTTTCTGGTCTGGCTTTAGCGATGTTACGCAAATAAATATCGATTTTTATTACGATGATGGAAAAAAGCGATATTTTGATTAAAGATTATTTGGGCCAAGCCTAATGTCAAGAAGCTACTGAATTTAAATTTGTTTCAAAACAAACGGCCATCTGAGAGGCAAAGAGATAAAGTTAATTTTGAATAAACTAAAGGCTATTTAATTTTAATAATTTGCATATAGGTACCTTAAGCAAATACAATGCCGCCGAAAGATGCCGATGCTCCGCAAACAGCTACAGTAAAACCTAACCCTCGAAATAATCCGACGATGTTTAAGATTTTTCAAAATGTTCAATATAATGTAGTGCAACACAAGAAATATGTGAAAGAAATGATCAAACTGTATAAAAAAGTAAGTAAATCACAAGACATTGTGTGTGGAAGTTAATTTTTAGTAGTATAATAATAATTTATTTTTCGCTCTCGTAAAGGTATATTCCACAGATACTATCAGTATAGAATTTACAAATTACAATTTTCTTGAGACTGGTGTCTGCAATAGGCTTTCACTCCCATATTTGATAAAACTACAAATAATACTCAATATTTATTTTTATCAAGAGTTAATTTTACTTAAACTACAAGAAAACAATATACTGTTTTTAATTCTTTGTGCAGTGAATATAAACTGTGAAGTTGATTATTGAAACCACTTGAATTTTATTTCAATTTCAGATAGATGAAGATTCATTCCGTGAAAGTTTTAAGAATGCTTTACATTACCTTTTTACGTTTGGTGATACTTCTGCTAATATTGATAGGGTGATACAATTTGTTGCTACATTTTGTACTTCTCTAGATGATGAGGAAGAGTTTTTGATGTTCATCTGCAATATTATTTTTGAGGTAAGGTATTTCTTCTTTTTATTGTGTAGAGAAATAATATTATTATTTTATAGGTAAGATCTAAAAGATTTTGATACTTTGATTTAAACTATTATTGCCATATAAACAAGTATTACATTGCTGTACCTATACTTTTACAGTGTCAATGTGTATCTGGCCAATCTGTCAGGTACAGAGCGAGTCAGCTGCTGGCAGCTGTATTGTCTGCATTAGGTGAAGATGCATCCCTAGATGATGACCTCTGTGATAAACTACTAGCATCACAAGTGAGTTTTTTAGTGCTTCAGAAAGCATCTTAAGCCATAACAACTTCCAAATCAATACTGGGCCTACTTGGTGGATCATGCCCCTTCCTCTCTATTCTGTTTCGATTCCATTTGTAAGGAAGGCCTGATGTCAGGATTTATTAAAACCAGTTGGCAAGTATGAAAAAGGCCATGAACATTGATATAGCGAAAGACATCTTTAGGAGCAGTGCTTGGTTCATCCTCCTTACCTGGCAAGGGTTCCAGCTTTAAGATATAAATATAAATGATTAAAAACTAAGGAGATGCTTTTACATGCAGATGTAACTACATCATGCATGGAATATTTGAAGTCCAATGTCATACTAAGTTACTTTTTGTTAAAATATAATACATCCTTCATAGATGCAGCGCTTACAAGACACAAGGGGAGCAGTTCGTTGTCGCGCTGCATTAGCATTACAACGTCTACAAAATCCAATGGAACCAGATGATGAAGTAACTCGTGCTTACCGTTTTCATATGAGCTGTGATCCAAGCTCTTCTGTAAGAAGGTATAGTTAAAATTTTTTATTAAACTTTTGTTTCATAGTCTGATTTTTAACCAGCAGCTGTTCATTCAGCCAGCGTCAATGATGTATTGTGACAGGGGATTAATTAACTCAAAACTATTGAATAGATTTTGATGAAATTTAGAGCAAGCAATAAAAAGTGTTAAGTTGTTTTAATAGTTTAATAAGTGAAAAAAATGCACTTTCTGAAACCCATTTATGTAGTGTTTTATAATCAAGGTATTTTTATAATGATCAAAGTTTTATATTTTTTTCCTCAAAACAGTCAAATAGATTATTAACCCAGGCGAATTTGTGGAAAACAGCTGGTATTTAATAATTGACAGCTTAAAGCAAATTTGTTTGACAAACAAAGTGAATCCGCGGGCATGTACCAACTTGGTTTCAATCTTTTTCTTATTATTACACATGAGTTGCACTCAGTCTTGTCTTCAACCTCAGAAAAAGGAAAAATTATTCTCCTTAAACAAACACGTTACAACTCAAATATCAGCAGTATTGATTGTTGCAAAACAATACTGATACTTACATCATAAATAACAATGTCTACTAAAAATTATAAATATCATCAGTTCACAGTGGGTTAGGTTAGATTATATGTGAACTGATGACATTTATTGTTAAACGTAAAGTTACATTTTATGTAGACCGTGTTCTTCAAATTGACCGCACCCACTCGTCCTGCTTTACCATAACGCACGTCCATGGAGAGTACAGCTAGCAACACCACGTCTGTCCGTTCCAGTTGATATTATCGCTTGTGTTTTGTTTTTTATAAATCATTATTTTTCTTTAATATATATATAGCTGTTTTGTCATGGCCCATCCTCCTTAAGAATCCATAAGGAAGGCCTGAGCCCCTGCAGTGGGGACGTAAAAGGGCTGATGATGATGATGAAATGAGTTATTATTCAATTATCTGTTCTAGAGCTGTTGTGATGTCCATAGCGAAATGTACACGCAATGTGCCATATGTTTTGGAGCGGCTGTGTGACGTAGATGAGGCGGTGAGGCGAGCCGCGTTTCTCTACATAGCTGGCGTGAATGTCACCCAGTTGAGAGTTCGGCAGAGGGTACTAACTCTGAAGGTAACTGAATTTCTCTGTATAAAAAATAAATAAAACCCTTATCCGACTATTCTGAAAGGCCTTTCTGGAATAATTTTTGAAGTTAATGTCTAAAGTATTAAGCTTAAAATTGATTACGATTTGGCTTCTTGTAGTAGTAACCTGAGCGTTATTGCTTGCGTTCTAAAACCTAAACTTACTGACACTATGGCTATTTTAGAAATGCTACTACAACCTTTAATAAAAACGTTGTTTTTTATAATTTATGATGCAAAGTAAGTAGGACCTTGCACTGTCTGATGAGAATATAATCTTCATAGATACGATAATAATAAAATTGTAAAAATGTTTCGAAATTTCGTTTCTGGTGAAACGGAGTAGAGGGACTTCTGTGAAAATACATAGGTACTTTTGTGAGAAATTTGATGGATTTTCTGTCAGATTTGCATCGACCCTAATACAATTTATATTAAGATCATTTTTGTACTTATTATTTATTCAATTTCATTAAACTTTCAATTTAATCTACATTTGTAAAGATGATAAAGCTTCAACAATTTTTTTATTTATTTAACTTAGGTCGGTCTAACGGAGCGTAGCCAACGCGTCCGCCGCGTGGTAGAAGAGATACTTATACCAGGATGGCTCAGCACCTTTCAAGGCAACATAGTAGATCTGCTTAAAGCTATTCGTTTGGACAACGCGCATGATGCAAAAGATTCACAATATGTTGCCGGTAAACTGTTGGAGTCACTTTTTAAGTGAGTTTTGGAAACTGCTGCTAAATTGAGACAGAAAGAAGTATTTGACTAAAAATTGTGTGTAAAATTATATTTTTCTCTTACTAATTTAAAGAAGGCTTACAATATAGTTTAAATCATAAAATAAAATTTAGACCACCTCTGTAAACTACCATTCTGATAATTACATTAAATTGTTACTATAATAAAAGAAACATAGTTTTACTTGCATTATAAAAAACAAGTAATAGTTAGGCAATTACTTAGCATTGATGTAATATTTGAAAAATGTTTTAGAATTAAATGTATGTCTTTAGAAAAACAAAAATACTAGTGCAAACTCAAAGAAATTATCTATAATATATACAGGCGACTTCCAATATCTGAACTTCTGGAATGGTTGCCGTCAGAAAAGAATTTGAGACTTATCCCTGCTGAAAAGCTGAACAAAGAGACTGCATGGTACTGGCGCCATCTAGCAGAACACTTACAGAAGATAGAAGACGACGAAACTTTAGAAACTATCCTTCCCGATTTGGTGGTTTTAACTGGATATATAAGAGCGTAAGTTTGTGACATATATGTCTCATATTGTTATAATTATATTAACTTACACTTCTGGCACTCGTCTGCATTCAAATACACCTTGGATTGACTTGAATTTGTAATATTGAAAAGTGTTTAACTAATAACACAATAGGATAGTTTCGTTACCGATTGACATATGTTAATTTAATAAATAATATACTCCAAGTATCTGTTGTGTGTACATATCTGAATGACTTCATGAATATGGCGGACAATGTTTTGCATGTATTAACAAAGTCTAAATTTTGATTTAATTTTTAAGAAAGAAATTATCATTAACCACAACATTTTTTATGAGGCTTATTTAAATTAAAATAAACACTTAAAAGTATTTACTCAATAAGAGTAGAAAACCCTTGTGCTACTGCTTACAAAATGATAAACAAAGAAAACAGTATTTGATCATCATCAGCCCTTTTACGTCCCCACTGGAGGGGCTTAGGTCTTCCTTATGGATGGTTACGGAGGATGGGCCATGACCCTCGACGTTGGCCCCTGAGAATCGGAGGGCATTGACGACTGCAAATGCAGCCGAGATCAACAGCTTAACGTGCCTTCCCAAGCACGGAGTAGCTCGAGATAATATTTTTGTCGTCATCCCATCCCATGATTGACCCTTGAGAAAATTGCTTAACAACAACAATCGCGAGCCGCGGCGCTTATCCTCTACGCCACCGAGCTACTTCTTATCTTAAAATTGAGAGTCACCTGATGACCTATTTTATTTCTCCCAAAATGAAATGTAGTCTTTTAAGAAACACATTTTTCGATAACTTATAATGCAACGGAGGTAGCATCTGATACTGAATCCAAACATTCGTTCCTGAATAGGATTTCAGTCATGTGTAATTCATATGAGCTATTGTTTCTAGGATTGTGGAATCACCATGTCCTTCCGAGTCTGATGACCCAGTAGGTTATAGTACCAGACAGTATGTGTTACACGAGCTGGGTAGTATGCTGAAAGTGTATGATGCGACTGACCCTACTGGCAGGACATCACTGCAGACTCTTATAACGGATGTACTAACAGGTCAGTTATAGGACTTTAATTTTATATGCTGTTGTATTTACTAATCATTAATAGTAGAAAGTTTTTTAAAATATTTTTAGATAAAAAAATGGGTTAGATTTAATTCAGTTTAATTTTTAAATTTTTTATGGTTTAATGCCTATTAGCTCAGCCATTTCATGTTTAATTAAAAGAAAAAATAATATTTTCCTGGTATCTAAATGGCGAACCAAATAGAACTTCGTTTTTTTACCCAGGCATAATCTACAACATTCTACAAAAAAGATCGAAACTTTGCCGAATACGCGCAATCGTTTTCGGAACAAAGGGTGCAGAGCGTTAGCTCAGTCATATATTTACATATAATATAAGATCACCATTGAATCTGAACGAATAATAAATATACCTTGCATAAAATTACTAAAATGAGAGTAAATCGGAAAAATGAGAGTAAATTTTTTGTTCCTCGGTTAGGTGATTACGGTCCTTTGAACGGTGATGTGATTCGCGCATTCGTTTCGGCGTTGGAGCTAGTCGTCCCCGAAGTATCGCCTCGTATGGAGGTGATCAGTGGAGTGATATCATCACTTCGCGATCCACCAGAACAGGAGGCTCCCGCCCCGCCTCCGCCCGTCGATAGTGCTGATATTAAGCTGAAGGTATGAACCAATGGAAGCTTTATTCGTCATATAGTACTATAACATTCAATACAGTTCTTAGTATGCCAACAACCGTGATTAGAGAAATTCTGAGGGGTACGCAGTTAAATGAGAAGGAAGCAGCGAGCCCGAGTGGCCATATGCTCACTTAGGAAACAATTCAGGAGTGACACATTTTGTTAATATTGTACATGTGCTGTGTGAGACTCATATTTTTTACATATTTTATTTATAGAGAATCGAGGTAACAATAAACAGATGTGGAATAGACTAATAAAATAATGTGATAAGAATGTTTTGACTAAAGTTTTATTTGGTAAGAGTGTATTTGTGTATTTGACTTTATTTACAAAGTTTATTGATAACTACTAATTGCTGCAGTATAGGCATATGGCCGCTAATATTGAACAACATTTACATGTCCATAATGACTAAAATTAAAGCTACTCCAATGGGAAAGATGGGAGATATATGAAATATTTATATAAAAAAAAAATTAAAAGTATCATTCATATGATAACTTAAAATGTAAAACAAATTTATTTTTCAAAATATCCTTCTTAAACGCCACATCTGTTATGGCGTCGACTCTGAAATTAGTTTCAATTTAAATAATAATTTAAATTGAATTTAAACATAAGGTTTAAATCTCTAAGTTCTGATATAAGAGTGTCGTGACGTCATGAACGGTCACGTGACAACAAGTATAAAATATTTATTTTTCCATAACTTATTGAAGCAATATTATAAATATAAGCATAAAACTGTGATTATCGGTTATATTATATTAAATACTACCAGAAAAAAATAATATGTATTTATTTTCGATTACTGTCTATATCCGTATTGCCAATATAGCGTTTAATTCTAAAAGCTAAAAATAAGATAAGAAAGAAAATAACGGTCTCGACGCTTAGTCGGTAAAGCAGTAACTTCAACGCTCTCTCTTTGGCTTATTAAGGTAGGGTAATAAGGCTTAAGGGTGTGCTTGACTTGATGCTTATGATTTTAATGATATATTTTATAATCTATTGGCTTTTATTTTTTTGATTATTTGACTGTTGTACGAAGTACGAAGGCAGAAACTACGACAATGACCTCTGCGATTAGCTTCGACTGGTCTTCCGATTGAGCTATTTTTTTTTGCAACCGCTCCCCTCTCAGTGGCAGGCCATTCTAGTTGACCCATTTATTTTTTATAAGAATATAACTTATTAATATTACAATTTACAATTTGTTATATTGTTATAGAGAGCCCGGTTGCGTGTATCACTTAATGTAGCCATAGAAGCTCAAGAGGAAGCTGTTAGAGATGAAAATTATTCTCTCGCTGCTGAATGCAAAGCCAAGGTAAGTGAATAGAACAATATGTGTTCAATTATTAAGTTTTAATTTAATTATTGTAAAAAAAACAAGCTAGCCGATTTCCCGCGACTTCGTCCGCGTATATTATAGCATATCATGCGCGTACGATCCCGTATATGAATGAATGAAACGAACAAACTCGCAATTAAATCTTTCCTCTTTAAAATATTAGTAAAGATGTGGCCGCATCGTATCCTAATCTAAAATTATATAGTTCTGTTTTATTTCTGACTAGCTGTGCCCGCGTTTTCGTCGGCGTGGAAAGTAGCTTAAGTTAACCCTTATTACATAAGCTATCTGCCAGTAAAAGTCGCGTCATAATCAGTTCATCCGTTACAGAGATTAGCCGCAAGAAACAAACAAAAAATGTTAAAAAAAGCTATTTTTATATGTCGACGGGTATTCAGAAGGGGCTTTTACGAAGCCCAAGTAGATGCTCCATATCGGAGGACTATCTTTATAATAACACTGCAGGCGTGTATACCAACGTGGATTTGTTCCATTTTATCACTTTTCATACGACAATATAACGAGATGAGCGTGATGTCGTCGGATGTCTTTACTCCTCGGCGATCGGAAACAGAATGTGTGCGAAAAATGGCGGAAATTTGCTGTTTGTTAACGAACTGTCAAAGTCAGTGTCACCATTCTAATAAAATTAAAAGTATCGATGATCACGCTCTCTCTACAATCGAGTAACTAGCAATTAAAATAAAAGAAACTAAATCAAACGATCTTACTACATTTGTATTTACTGAAAAGCGGTTATTTAAATTTTACAAACAGACTCCAATTTTATTTATATGTATGTAAATATATCATAATTATCACATTATTTTTAAGGTGGCAGATATTCAAAAGAAACTGGAAGAGTTAAATGTCCAACCAGCACCGCCTCCCGCGCCAATATCTGTAAGTAATAAATAAAACATGTGATGCTTTTAAGAAAGGAAATGTAATGTTTCAGTTTGCATGGAGCTCTGGACATGATATTAGAATTATTATAAAAATATTAGTAATTAAACGATCAATATATATTTTTAGTATATATACATTGTCTACTTACCTTAACTCATGACCTTTCGCAATCCGGGCGACTGCTCTAACCACTGAGCTGACCCAGGACTGATGAAATTTTCAAGTAACTTTTCGCTACTACAGATGTTAGAGGGAGATTAAACAGCAGTTTCTATGAAATAATAACGTTTTATTATATAAGTATAAATATTCATATTTTAATTTAATGACACCACAAATCGACAGACGTTTTCAATTCATACTACACTATGGTATGTATTAGCGATGATCTACGGAGGTCGAATATCGTGCCTTGCTGGTTGACTACCAACAATCCTCCTCAGAAAGCAGGATAGAGGATAGTTTCTCCTCCTATGGCTTTTATTCACTGAGCCCAATCATCGCTCTCAGACGGAAAATTCTCGGCCCTGATAAACCTTTGGTCAAAGGGTCAGCTTCGATTTCTTCAGTCCTTATGAATTTAAGCTCTATCTTCTTCTCGGAAACACAGTCTCTTATAAAATGAACCTTCATATCAATGTGCTTCGATTTCGAGCTTACCATTGGATTTGTTCCAAGTTTTATAGCTGCTTGATTATCGCAATGTATTGTTATGGGCTTCTCTTGCCGTAAATGCAAGCTTTTGTGAATTAAACACAAGTGAATTGCCTCTTTAGCAGCTTCCGTTAATGAGACATATTCGGCTTCAGCCGTAGATAGTGCTACTGCACGCTGTTTTCGAGATGCCCAGCTGATTGCTGCTCCCGCGTATTTAAAAATATATCCTGAAAAGGATTTCCTATCTTCTTTGCAGGCAGCCCAATCGGCGTCGACCATTACGAACAAATCTATATTCGTCTTTTGGTATTGCAGTCCCATGCTCTTAGTCCCTTTTAAGTACCTTAGTACTTTTTTGGCACATTTAAAATGCTCCTCTCCGTAACAATCATTGTATTGCGATAGATAACTGACCGCAAACATTATATCTGGTCTTGTAGCAATTGCAAGATACATAAGTTTACCGATTAGATTTTTATACGGTAGGTTATCCCCCTCTTTCTTGGGATTCTTCATCAGGCAGATACCAGGTTCTATTGGCGTCTTTGATGCTTTGCATTCAGCCATGCCAAATATTTTGAGTGTTTTCTCAATATATGCCTCTTGGCATAGTTTGATACCTTTGTCATTGTATATGAAATCAATTCCGAGGAGTCTTTTGGGTTTGCCCATATCTTTTAACTCAAACTGTTTTGACAACAACCTTTTTATATGTTTAGCGGTCTCAGGATTTGAGTAAGCCATCAAAATGTCATCTACGTAGATCGTAATGACTGTTTTATCTCCTCCTTTAATTGATATGTACAGACATGGATCAGCAGATGAAGTTTCGAAGCCAATCCTTCTAAGTTCAGTGTCTAGTCTTTTAAACCACTGACGTCCTGACTGCTTTAATCCATATAGCGCTCTTTCTAGTAAACAGGCTTTGTCACCTTTGATACCTTTCAGATCTTCAAGCATTTTTCTAGCTTTATTATATACAGTCAGATCTTCTTTATCTATTTCATCTACCATCACCTCTGATACATATTCTTCTAGACATTCTGGAACTTTAATTGTAATTCTTTCATCTAGGTCACCATTTAGATATGCTGTAGTTACATCCATTTGACATAAATGTAAGTCTCGTTCTAATGCCATTCCTACAACTGTTCTTATGGAACTCAATTTTACAACAGGTGCAAAAGTTTCATTATAGTCTATCCCAGGTTTTTGGGTAAAGCCTTGTGCGACTAGTCTGGCCTTTTTAATTTCATTGTTTGGGCCAATTTTCTTTTTTAAAATAATTTTGTATCCGATTAGTCTCGTATCTTTCTCTTTAGGAACTATCCGCCATGTACCATTTTTGATATGAGCTCTGATTTCAGATTTTATAGCATCATGGTAATCTTCGTCATCACCATCTTCACATTTGTGTGATTGTTCTGCTATGTTTATGTCATAATATTCATCAATTTCACAATTATTATCATTAATTTGTACATAGTCATTCATCCTTATTGGCGGTCTTCGTTCTCTTTGAGGTCGTACAACCGGATGTACCTCATTTTCATCTGTATTTATATCTGAATTAGGGTTATTTACAACATCTGTAATATCAAGTTGCTGTACAGTTAAGTCATCATTCATTCTTGTTTCGAATTGTATATTTGTGACTTCTGCTTTGCTATCTTTTTCTTTATTTTCATTTTCAATAAGACTTTCATAAGTATCATTTATTACCTTCACGTCTCTGCTTATCATTATATCATTTTTCTCTGGTATGAATATCCGATAACTTTTTGCATTTGACGCATAGCCCATAAATACACCTTTGATAGATTTAGGAGTTAGCTTTCCACGGCGTGTCTTTTTGAGGACAAAAGCTTTGCTTTGCTTTTTGCCTTGTTTCTTGTTGGACCAACATGATTCCGTACTATGCGTGTTTTTCTTACAGAATGTACAGAACTTCTTCCTTTTGGAAATTAAAGCTTCAGTTTTCTCTTCGGACTCTGGTTTCTCTGCATTGCTCCTCGCCTGTGATTCTTCAAAGATTTTAACTTTTAAATCTTCAGGATTAGGCAGTGTATCTCTTGATTCTATTGCGATGCGGAAATTCTCGTAAGAAGTCGGCAAGCTGTATAAAATCATGACACTGAGCAGTTCCTTTGGGATTTTGATGTCCATGTCCTCGAGTTTATCTACTATGTCCATAAAGTTATTTAAATGGTCGCGGATGTCTTCGTTAGTGCTCATTCTCTTAAGTACTAGCTGCTTTAGTAGGGTGGCCATTCTAGCTGGCCCGGTGCTTTGATAAGTTGCCTTTAGCTTATCCCATACCGACTTTGACGTTGTGCAGCTTTTAATTTGTTTTAATTCTGACGGGGATAGCAACAAAATGATCTCTGCTTTGGCTTTGAGGTCTTCTTTGTTGAATGCCGCCCTGGCTATAGCGTCAGCATTCGGCTGTAGTATTTTCGCACCGTTTACTATATCCCACAGTTCATTTTTTATGAGAACAGCTTGTGCTTGAAGGCACCAGGTGTCGTAATTGGATTTCGTTAATGCTTCTATAGAAATTCGATTGTTTGTAGCTGTTGCCATTTCTGCAATTTTATTTACAGTACTCCCGTAAACGATAACCACGCTCTGCTACCACTTGTTAGAGGGAGATTAAACAGCAGTTTCTATGAAATAATAACGTTTTATTATATAAGTATAAATATTCATATTTTAATTTAATGACACCACAAATCGACAGACGTTTTCAAATCATACTACACTATGGTATGTATTAGCGATGATCTACGGAGGTCGAATATCGTGCCTTGCTGGTTGACTACCAACAACAGAGCGTATTTTCATCAATGTTCAGGCAATCCCCTCAAACAGCTGAAAGACATATTTTTACAAATATTAAAAGTTTCGATAAATATGAAAATTTGTTCTAATTTTATATTTGATCAATTTTGAATTCACATTGCTAGTATAATGTATTATTTTCAATGTGTCACAGTACATACCCATTTATTATTTCACAGACTATAAGAGAGAAAATATCCGACGCAGAAACTTTGAATAAATGTCTTACGATATTGAATTGCGCTCTAGATACTCCTCAACTGAATACTATAACGCCTATGTTACAAATGATTTTTAACGATCTTGAGGTTTGTATTTTATAATAATAATACTATATTTTATAATATAATACCAGCGACTTCGCTCGTGTAAATTATTTCCTATGTCACCCTCCTATGATGTAGCTTCCCGTAGGTGAAAGAACTTATAAAATCGGCCCAGTAGTTTCTAAGCCTATTCGATGCAAACAAACAAACAATCGAATCTCTCCTCTTTGTAATATTAGTATAAATAATATTATACAAAAGAGAGAGAAAGAGAGTTAGAGTTAGTTATTTAAGTGAGTCTTAACATCTTAATAGTTAAATGCTAAATTGTTTGAAGTTTTTAATATATAAATTAGTATTTTTTATATATAATATAGATCACACGAATTTTCAAGTCTTTTATAAATTTAGGTGGAGATATTTCAAAATCCCGAAATCCTACAAAATGCTCTAGAAACAGTAGCACTTTTTGGGATGTTAGACAAGGAGTTCGCTAAAGAAAATAAGGCTTTCTTCTTTGCAAATGTAAGTATTGGGAATTTTATATAAGAAATGGTTTAAATTTATTTACGTAGCGTTTCTTTAGTACATAAACACCCAGTTGTCAAAATGTCCAATCACATTCTTAAACAAAATCAGTAAAATATATATATTTGAATATATATGTTTATTGAATTTCAAATATTTATACGAGATAAGTGAGTAGTTCAGTGCTATAGTGGATAAGCTCCACGACCCGCGATTGTTGTTGTTAAGCAACTTTCACAACTGTCATTTATGGGATGGGTGACCAATTGAATATTATCTCAAGCTACTCCATGCTGCGGAAGGTACTTTAAGCCGTTAGTCCCGGCTGTATTTGCAGACGTTAATACCTTCCAATCCGCAGTAGCGCCAGTGTGGAGGGTCATGGCCCATCCTCCGTAACGGAGACGGCTGATGATGATGATGGTGATACACGATAAAAGAAACTATAAACACAACTTAATCACTTGATTCTACCGTAGAATGTATACTGAGGCTTGTGTTGACTTTTTAGATGCACAAATTAAGCACGCCGTAAAGCTTCTACCTCTTGACTACTACTCAACGCAAAGAACAGCCTCGCGATGAGGATATACAGCTTTATAACGACCCAATTATATACAAATATCTACCTACATGATACAACTATCCAAACTATGCTATTGCATTACAGGTATATTTTGTATTTTTATCCATAGTTAATAGATACATCGAACGAGCCTATAGTGACTACAGTGCTAAAGTCGATCGTCGATCTTCTATGCGTGCACGGCGCACGTGTATTTGAGGACGAAGCTACTGATGCCACGCAGAGAGATGAGTCAAAGGCTTCTAGAAAGAGGAGCACCTATCATTCCGTGGATGCTATCGAAGAAGATGGTATATTATTTTTAGTAACTGTAATAATATTGTTGAAATGTGTTTCAGAAGACATTATCTGAATTTGTAGTCGTTAAAACAATCAGTACTTACTTGTCTATATGGTTCCATTCATAGAAAAGATTTATATCCCGCAGTTGCAACTTATTAGGTAAGTAATAGCTAAGTATATAGTTAAGTGTATAGCTAAGTAATAGCTATATAATACGCCTTAAAATATATTCATCATCATCGTTTACGTCTACTCCGTCTTGACCCCCCCCCCTTCTCATTTATTTATTATATAGTCTTTTTCTTTCGTCATGGGTTGCTTGGAAAAGATTGTTACGTAGCAATAAGGCCGCCCTTTGTGCTTTGTGTTCTCTCTCTTTTCCAGCTTCTCTATATGTCCTAGAGAAACGTCGGTTTCAAGGTGTCGTCATTTCTGAGGTCCCGGGTTCGATCCCCGGTAGGGTCAATGTAGAAAATGAACTTTTCTATATTGTGTCGGGTCTGGGTGTTGTGTTACTTTCGTTGTCTCAGATACTCCATAATACGGGGGCTTTGACTACTCATCTTGGAATCTGAATAATGTATGTGATGTTGTGTAATATAATATTTATTTGTATATCATTATTATTATTTAATTTCAGGAAGTATCTCGGAATCTGTTATATCGCTATCGCCTGCCCATAGCACTGTAATAGAGCTGCTTTTGAAGATTATGGATAGTACAGTAAGTCTTAATAACTTCTCTAGATTCACCCGCCTCGTCCATATATTAAGTTTTTAGATTATTAAGAGTTTAAAAATGTTAAATACTCTAGTACCACCTAATGGAATAAAAATTAAACGCCATTGATGCGAGTAAATTCGAATCGGTTTTCTATAATGTTAGTGATGCTATAATGTGACCGCTGTGAGATTGTGTTCCTGACATCTGTCAAATACTCATAACTGTCAACATTTACACGGGCAAAAGTTAACATTCATATTTTATCACTTCACTTGTTTATCTGGCTTCTGCTTATAAAGATGTGTATGAATTAAAATTTAAATGTATTAGTTAGAAATATAATAAAAAACCAACTATTATTATATATTTAAATCAATTTATTTAAATATTTGGTAATCAAGTACTTATTATTGTTAAATACAAGTGTAGATAATAAACGAAAATAAATGCCTATCATTTTTTCTGTAGTGTTTAATATACTAGAATGAAACTTTAATGCTTATTATATTTATAATATTGCTTAAATATTTATGAAAAAACAAATATTTTATGCTCGTTATCACGTGACTATAAACAGTGCGTGACATCACGCCCTTCTTACTAACATGACAATTTTTATATCAAAAAAATATAAAAAAAAGTTCTTTACAACCCTATTATTGTTATGCTAATAAGAAAAACGTTTTATGTTGTTTTTTACATTTTTACAGTGATTGAGTCTACCCTTTAAAGTATAAATACTTGTATCAGGGGAGACCCGCTCTTATACATTCTACTTAGTAACGAATTGTCAATCAATACCAATATTGTGTGTGTTTGTATGTGTGTGTTTGTGTGCATATGGGTGTGTGTGTTTGTGTGTGTTTGCGTGTGTGTGTGTGCATATGTGTGTTTGCGTGTGTGTGTGTGTGTGTGTGTGTGTGTGTGTGTGTATGTGATTAATAATCAATTCATGTTTTCTAATATATTCTCTGTATCTTCATATGTGAGTGAATTTAGCCATGATGTTAATTTTCGTTTGCATTCTCGGTAAGTCATGGTATATATTTTTATTTGTCTGTTTATTTTATTATAAAGCCTTACTGATTGTATATAGAATTGTCTTGATGCGAATGTTGTTCTGGTCTTTCTTTGATGAATGACAGTGAAGAGATTACGTTTAGCACTTTTTGCTGGGTCTTTTGGCGTTTTTTTATGTGTCACCAGAATAGTTTGTAAGATATATAATTGGCGAACTGTTAAAATGTTTAAATCCTTGTATAGCTGAGTTGTACTATATAGTCTTTTTTTTTTATGCATTACTTTCAGAATTGTTCTTTGTGCACGTTCCAGATCAATAAATTTTGTTTTGAAAGTTCCTCCCCAAATAGTTATACAATATAGCATAATAGATTGTACAAGTGTTGTATATATATATTTTAGCAAATCCATATCAGAAATATTACGTAAGTATTTAAAGAGCCAGATTAATTTTCTAGATCTATTACATACAGCGTCTATTTGTTGATACCAGGATAGATTTGAATCAATGATAATTCCTAAATATTTTGTGCTGTCTACTTTCTCAATTTTAGGGCAGTTACAGTTGCTATTATCAAAGGGATTTTTACACGTATGTGGAGTAAGTGTTAGATTCGAATCCGGTTGAGTTGATTTATTTATAGTGAAAGTAATGTAATTTGTTTTATTTGCATTTAAGGTAAGGATATTTATACGTAACCAATTCATAACCTTTTGCAAACCTTCTTCCGCCTTTGCAAAGGTATCCCGCCATGTAGAACCACAAAAAAGTAATACTGTGTCATCTGCGTAAGAGAATATGCGTCCGTTGTCTAATTTCATGTCAGTTAGGTCATTTATATAGACTAAAAAAAGTGTAGGTCCCAAAACGCTACCTTGTGGAACGCCGAAGCCACTAATTGTAACATCCCTACTAATTAAATTGTTATGCTAATAAGAAAAACGTTTTATTTGATGTAACACTATTTGATGTACTCTGAGACTTATTTTTTAGAACTCAGTACGTTACGGTACTATAGAAATAAAGAGCTGGTATATTGTATTGTTTAAAATCTTGTTTTCTCCATGTTTTCTCAGTTATTTAGCTTTTATATTTAGAACAAAATTTGAATCGTATTATTTATTAATCACCAATTTAAAGTTATGTCATCGAATTCAAGTTGACCTGTCAAAAACTCATTATCTATATTCTATTGCGTGATTTCTTTTCCATAGTGCGCAACATACCGGTTGATTATCGTAGAGGGTTTATGCAGACTTCTGCATCTTGGCCATCTAGAGTCGCCAGCGATACTCAGCCGCCTTCTATTACTCTGGTTTAATCCTGCTACTGGTAATACTTTCTTTTACTCTCAATACGTATAAATAATTGTTTAATGGTAAATGTATAAAAGCTTCTGTTTTGTATTTATAGTGGAGGAAGATATGCTAAGACAAACGATCGGAGTGTTCTTCCAAACATTCCCAGCTAACGTAGAAGGGGCACAAGAACAAATACAGGTTGGTGTTATTATATATTTTTTTACGAAAATATATTTGTTTATTCATTATGATTTCATGCGTCATGTTCATGGAACTAGAAGTCTAGATTGCTTTTTCTCTGTCTCTTTTTATGTATGACGTAACATAGGAATATAATGAGATAAAACAGGAAGACAAAAAATAGTTGTATTGCGAAAGAGTTACAGAGTTGTATTGCGAACAAAGGTATCCATGAGGATATTCGAATTTATTTATATATGTGTATATTTTTTGTAGAAAGCGACTCTACCGACCCTACGTACATTAGCAAACGCGCCTTCGAGTTCCCCGCTAGCTGAGATAGATCAAGAGGCTGTTGTGAGATTTATAGTTTCTCTAACAAGAGTCAATCACGAGGTTAGTTATTTTTAACATTATAATAAAATTAAATTATAAATTATTGATATCCGTCATATTCATTTAGTCATTCGGATATGTACACAGAACAGAAGCTTAATAATACATTCTTTAATTAATTTAAAATTTAAACAGAAAAGTGTTATCTTATGATTTTTCTACAAAATAAAAATAATAAGGTATGATCTGCTTTATAATAAATAGGCTGCTCTTCTGTGTGACTAATATGACATGCAGAAATGGTTCAGTTTGTGACGTCACAAAATGGCGGGTTGCGTTTCTGTCACAAACAAAAAAAAAATTTTTGAAAATCATGCGATTTGATAACTCAAATTCAGAATATCTTTATTTATTTACATGTATTTAAGTTTTCCTTTAAATTCGTGATTTGTTTTTCACTACAAAAATTATCCTATTTGTTTCAGTTAACTGACAGTCAGGGTGCAATGGCAATGAGTCTATGTAACTATATAGTACGTCGTCCGTCCTCTACTGAGGTGGGACTTGCTTGCCGCATGCTAGCGTTATTATCACCTCCTCGCGACGGACATCTAGCCAACGAATTGGCGGTCATGCTGCGAGATTTATGCCAAGTGAGAATAAAAAAATGTTTCTTTTTTTTATCAATAGGGAATGTTACGTAAAGCTCGCCGTAGATATCCGCACGAGCACACGTAGTAAACAAACAAATTTGTCTTTTGGAAATGAATTATTCCCTTGTTTCTTACATCCAAGTTTGCAGCAATGATGAATTATTGAATAAAATTACACTCTTTATAATTATGGATAAGAAAAAATATTAAATTCCCATTATGATCATCATTACTTTACTCTTTGATTAACTACTCTGTGAATGACGTTTGGTGTTTATAAAAAACTGTTTATATCGATGCTAGTGCGCAATGAAAAAAAAAATCGCGGGACGCTATCGCCAGGATTGCAAAAGGCCACGGATTCGAATCCAATATTAGGCAGTTGGGACGGGCTAATTTTAAATGCCCTTTTTTTAATTACTTTGATGCTATCATGCGAATAAACGTCAATAACATTTATCTTGTCTATCTGTTTATTATTGCGTCCGAACAGACAAATATATTTTTAGAAATTAAATATTGACGGATGACACGTTGCGTCTGTCCATGATACGCGTGACGGATCTTCCGTCAGATACGCATTGACCCTTAGGAAAGGTTTTATTAAATTTGCTTCTTATGGACAAATATTATTTTAGAAATATTTTATGACAATAAAAAAAAATAACTATAAGGTTTGTTTTGAAAGTATATTTCACTAGGATGAATATTGTGCAGATTTTTTTAAAATAGATGACAATGAATAATCCATTTTCTACACTATGTTTCATTTCATTGCAGAAATTACCCGATAAACAGTCTTGCAGAAACCTTACACGCTACCTTGGGGCCTTAGAGGCTATGGAACGTGTCAGTCTCAACAAAATGTCTAATACTGGTAAACGAAAATAATTTAAGTATGTTAAGTGTATTTAATAACCACTAGAAGCGGTAACGATAAAATCCGGCGAACACCTATGAAAAGAGTAATAAATGAATGTCGAGGGGGCAAAAGAAGTACACTCACAGGCACAATTAAAGGCCTACCTTCTATTTCTTTTAATTTGCAGAAATCGCCAAAGACCATATTTTATGAAAGGAATGTTAAAAACTATACTTACAGAAAAAGAAACAACTAAAAATATTGGAAAAACGTCTTTTATTAAAGGTTGCTTACCAAAAATCGATGTTTTTTGAAAATCATCAATTAAAATGTGTTAAATTTTGGTTTTGGAAATATTGGAGCAAAAATAAAATTTATAGTGGGTGTTGCTACCTGTGGACCTTAATGACAAAAAATAAAAATTACTATCTCTGGCTGTTGCTACCTCTGGTCCTATTGACTTCTTGGAGTTAGTTTGCATCAGTTAAAGCCATTTTTCTCTTTTTTAATAATATAACTTTGGCAATAGGAGATTGGACAGAGATTAGATTTAAAGTTGTTTATATTTTAAAAGAGAGAAATAAAAAAAATAAAGTTTGTGTAATGTGAGTCTCACTCGCGTCAAACGGAACGCCTCATCAGAGCGTGTGACGTCACTCGTGTGTGATTTGGTAATAACTACTAAGGAAACGTTCAAAAGAATTTTAATGATTTATTGAATGTCAAAACGTCAGAAGGGTCATTTAAATATATGGTATAAAAATGACCCATTTTAATGTTATATCAGAAGACATTTTTTTACTGGGAATCTCTTGTTTATCCCACAAACGTTGTAAGGGGTTGCTGTTTACACTTTTTTTTTACGATTACAATGTAAACGTGTTGTACATGTCAAGTTACAAAAATATGTTTAAAATTGACTATTTTAAACTGCTTACAAAGTATTAAAGTTTAAAATGATGTTGAGAAATTTGTCAATTTTGTATTTCTACACGTACGACTACGTATGTACATAGGTTTATTTTTGTTCAAATATTTATCCTTATACATTTGGACAAAAACTTTACTTGTTCAATTGATATAATCTGTTGTACAGATTCCAATAGTTCCATATAATCCACACCAGGCGGTATTGTGGGGTTAATTTAATTTAACGTTTTTTAACGACTAGCTTTTGCCCGCGACTTCGTCCGCGTGGTAAAGTTACTTTGAGCAGCATTTCTAACGAATATTCATTTATTATGTCGTGTAAAATAAATGAAATAAAGTTTCATCGTTTCAAAATCCTTTCTTAGGGGATGCCTACGTCATAGTAGCTTTATGCATGCAAAGTCTCAGCCCGATCGATTATATTTGACGAAAGTTTCATACTAACTTTCATCCCATTGGGAGTAGAATTGATTAAAATCCTTTCTCAGGGGATGCCTACGTCATAATAGCTTTATGCATGCAAAGTCTCAGCCCAATTGGTTTAAAATTGTCAAAGTTTATATAATAACATCTACCTGCATGCCAAATTTCAGCCCGATCCGTCCAGTGGTTTGGGCTGTGCGTTGATAGATCACTATGTCAGTCAGTCACGTTTGAATTATATATATATAGTTATTTCCATAGTGCAGTTGATAAAAAACCGCATCAAAATCCGTTGCGTAGTTTTAAAGATTTAAGCATATATAGGAATAGAGAAAGCGACTTTGTTTTATAGTATGTAGTGATTTATCGTATCACAAAAACATTTTTTGAAAATTGTCCAATCTCCTATTGTACGATTTTTATTTCATAGCGTTCGAAAAATCGTATGTGTAAACATAATAAAATGTGTCCTCATCAGGAATCACCGAGGGAACCATTCAAAATGAAGATACACTAGCACAAACGACGAGTCGCGTAACTACATCATTGCGTAAGTACTTTAATTTACTATAAAAAAAATCCACTAGAATAAGGTTATACCTTGAAGTAAAGACATAGTTTTATTTCTTCTGATAAATGTTGTTGGTTATCTAAAGGACACACTGACACCCTTAAAATTAATCCGAGACCTCAATTATGGTCTCGACAGTTTCAAAGAATTTCAAGATATAATTGTTGAAGTCTGGTCAACAGAGATCAACTTTGACTACACGAAAGCTTTCGAGTTCGTCTAATGCAGCCTTAATGTTAATAATGTTACTGCAATGATCAGGTATCTACTCCAGTTATGCATTGAATAGACCGTCGAGTGGGTATCTAAGCAGAATGAAATTACGTATGTTCACTTACACCATATAATAATATCACCAAATTATTGTATAATATTAATTTAATTTTATGTAATTGTATAATGTAAATTAATAATGTAAATTAATTATAATATTAGTATTTGTTGTTGTTGTTTTTTTTGGATAATGCACTTAATATCTTGGGTAATAGTTGATAAATTGTTTTTATGATTGAAGTAATACTTTTGACTACTTTTGAGTTATGGTAGTGATTGAAAATAGTGTTAATGTTAGTATTAGTCTCACCCCCTGCTTTTTAATTCGTGTAATCACCTTTTCATAATTATAAGTAAGAAAAGAATAGATTGCTTGAGATATAGGGGCGAATCCATACCTTAAAGGCGGTTACGATCACAGATACTTGAATATAAGTCTGCTCAAAATACAAGAAAATTCTTGCCATAATTTATGACGTGATCAAGATTTTGTATAGACCATGATAATGTAATGTCACAAATATGTTAGGGTTGTGGGCATGCCCATCAATAACGCTGGATCCGTTCTTGTTGCAAAATAATATAGAGCAATATGAAATAAAATCTACTTCTAGTAATAAAGGTCTTATTAATAAATTACCGGACTATATTTTTCTTAAGCTCTCAATTTAACGTGACAGACGTTTCAATAAATTCAATTAATATAATAATTTTAGCTCAACCATTGGCACGAAGCACACACGTAGTCATCAACGAGACAGTAGAAGAAGAAGTTGAAATAGATGAGACATCACCAACGGAAGTTGTTAGCAGGATATCCGAAGGTATGCATACTGATATTAGAGAAGGAAAAATGTTTTTGATAATCTGTCCATTTAAAACGTAGCAACGGAGCGTCGTTATGGTATGATTTTTTTTTCATGTAGGTAGTTGCGAGTCTAGACTACTTTTAACAAAAAAGATCTAATTCCACGAGAAAAGTCATTCAAAGTTTATCCAACCTTTGATCATGTTGCTATTATGAGTAATATCTTGTACAGTTGTATAGAATTACTAAATTTTGATGCATCTACACTCAACAATTTTAGATTCCTATTATATTTTATTATAGTTTGTTTTCTCAATTATCAGTCGTATGCTTGTGTAATTTATTACTTGTATTGAATCGATGTTGTAGTATAACTAAGAAAATATAATTTCTAGAACCTGCATCGACCCAAGGAACTAGTGGACAATCCCAGCTACAATCATCAGATGCCGACAAGTTAGCTCTGCAAGAACCTCAGTCGGACTCGAGCAGTGGTGTTTCTCCTGTCAAAAAAGCAAAAACAACTAAAAGTAAATAATTTTATACCCCTAGAAAATTATAGAGCGCGAATTGAATTAATATCGAGCACATATCTTAAATTTGGTATTGACATTTGTACGCCTTAATCCATAAAGGAAACTAAGATTTCCAATATATAAACAAATTGTGATTATGATGAATTCGTTTCGAGCTCGATCCAATGTCAATCTTGCTAAAATATGGTTTAATACTGACAAGAAAAATTGTCGTTAGAATCAAACTATAAACAAGGTTAAATAAAAAAGGTTACATATACGTACCTATTTATATACTTGCCTCGATTTTCAATAATTAAAAATGTTATTATAAATAATTATTTCTTTAATAGCTAAGAAAAAGAAACTGTCTTTAAGTAAACAGTCATCAGCATCTGAGAAGAGTGCTAAAGCAGAAGGAAATAGTAAGGCTAAAAGTCAGCAGAGCACACAAGAGAGTAATGATAAAGGAGGAATCAAGAGGAGTCGTTCACAAAGGTCTTTGGTGGATGTAGAAAGAGGTGAGTCAATTAAGTTCATTATGGCAATGTAACAATTTTGACCTTTTCAGTTTTATTGTTCAGGATAATAATAATAAGATGCTTACAATTAGAATAAAATTTAAATAGAAATATAATTCTACCTAAAAACAATCACCTGTATATGTATATAACTGTAAAGGTGTGTATTACTTTCTGTCATATCAATAAACTTAGTACTTATAATAGGACAGACTACTCCCAACTGAAAAGCGCGCCGTGCGAGATATTAAGTACAGAGTCTAAAATAAGTAAGAGTCTAAAAAATAAAGTATTTAGAAAAAAAAAAATATATTACGGATCTCCAACAAGTCTGTCAAAGTGCATCGCGCTCCTTTGAGCGATGAGTAAAGAGTCTAACGATGAGGAGGCCTCATACCTTAAAGATAATATACAGAATCTCAAAAGAATCTATGCTATATCATAACAAGAAATGTTGTTATTAAAATAAATTCCTAGTTTGTGTGAAAAAATTTGATATGATATAAATAAACGATTATTTATTTATAATATATATTTATTACGTTGATAACAGTTCAATACAAATGTTCTAATAAAATTTCTTTTGAAATTCAATATTAAATAAAAAATCATTACATTATAAAAAATTGTTTTATGAAGTTGCTAAGTTCAATTTGACCGTCAAAATTTCGTAACGAATTAAATTTAATTTTGTTGATTTACAATGTTGTTATCTTGATCGTGAAAAAACGTATTGCAACCACTACAAGATTTACTTGGACAAATATAAACGCAACACTTTTAAATTGGTGAATATTTTAACTGTTGGAATATGTAAAAAAAATATTGAAATAAAAATATCAATGTGCAGTCACCGCCATGATACTTCAAAGGGTTACCAGTAGAAATTAATTGAACGAATAGCCTTGGTGATAATTAGTACCATCTTTTTGTAATAATTTAATATCAACGAAATGAGGAAGTATTAAAAAAAAGCAAAAGCACTAAAAAGCACCTCCCACTAGATGGTGACTCTTACGAAAGTTGATTTTTGCAGGAAATGAATAGACCAGTCATTTCCGTTCCTTTTAATTAATATATTAAAAAACTGAAAAAGTTTGAAACTTAGATATCAATACGAAAAAGTACAATTAGAATATGAGTTGTTTATTGAGTTTTTAAAACTAATTTACTTTTAAACATGAAAGAAAACCGGAAGGGTTGTCATGGAGAAATCAAGAACGTACCGTAGCGACATCTAGTTTGATTTCGGAAACTAATGTTTGTTTTTCCTCATTAATGTGATTATTTAATAACTTAAAATTTTGAAATAGTTACCCTTAAAATAAAAATATTTCCACTTAGTTAACTTTAGTTAAAAATTTAATGAACGATATTTTTCATAATGGCAAGATGAAAGAACGAGACACACGGTCTCCGTTGTGACTATCTTTCTCAGTTAGGATAAGCTTTTGTACAAAGGCCAATTAAAAGTATACTTTAAGTGATAAGGTTCATTTTTGTACTTACAATTTTTCGGAGTTATAATTCCTGTTATGAGTACTAATTCAATGGTCATATCACACTTTTCTGTCTGAAATGTCATTATCATACAAATAGAAGTAGATTAGTGCTAGTTAAAAAGGTTTCTTTATATTTCAAGTTCATAACAGTGTCCTCCATATATTTTTTTTTAATTTTAGCCCAAAAAGCGAAAGCGGAAGCAGCAAAAGCTAAAAAGGACTCTTCACCTGATGAATCGCTGTCTTCGCCACCATTCCACGATTTGGACAGTTCTAATGTGACAGTCAGGCGGTCCACTAGGGGTCCGCAGTCGGGATCCGGCTCTGAATCAAACGGATCCGATAAAAAGGGGAAAAAGGGAAAGCCGAAGAAGAAAGTTGAAGGTCGGTATTGTTTTCGTGAAAGGTATGATCCTCTATTAAAACTTTTACTTTATTGCACAATGTCTTCTGTTATTTATTAACTCTCACTACTTGACATCGCTCATTTCATTACCTCTATGCAGATGATCTTCAGTTTATGCTCAAGCAGATAAAAATAAGATCGATGATCCTTTTTGGGCCATAATCAGGATATCATTACTGTTTTGGAGTGGTCAAACTGTTACAGTGTCACTGTAAATAAATCTAAGTGCCAAAGTATCGTTTTTGGCAGTTCACGGCAGCTGTCGGCTATTAATAGAAATTACATTACTCCCATATGATATAAAGGCGAAATCATTCAGTTTCAGTCTAGTGTAAAAAATCTAAGCCTGCAAATAGATAGATAGATAGATAAATGATTTATTTCTTGCCAAAATACACACACACATTACATTTCATTCAACAGAAAAATAAATAAATAAGTATGTAGATGAGACAAATGAACATTCGAAAAAAAAAATCAAAGTACAATCAATGGATTGTACTCTTAGCTAGGAGGTGCAGATTGGTGAAGTGAACCGTAAAGTAGTGAACACGCTTAGGTGTCTTTATGGACCTAAATTTCTTCTCCCATTCAGCACTAAACTGGTACAAACTCTTACTCTTACTCCATTCTCACCAACCAATGTCTTAAGAAATTGGATCGTTTGCAAATTAGTGCTATTCGATTCATATATGTACTTTGCAAATATGATCACATATCAGATTACAGGAAACAACTCAGTTGGCAAACTATCCATCAACGCAGAAACCTGCAAATTTTCTGTATGCTTTATAATATTCTACACGATCCATGTATTTCAGGATATTTGAAATCTAGGTTTCAATATCTTGGTTCCGGTCATCGACGTAATCTTCGCTTTAGTAGCAATCTCATTCTTCAAACCCCCTCTCATCATACTTCATTTATTTCCAAATACATTTCATACAGCTATTCGCCTTTGGAATGCTCTTCCGTTCACATTAGAAATGCTCACAGTAAAGTGATATTCAAGAAATTGGTGCGTGAGCACTATGATTATATCGTGTTCTATACGTTATTTATTTATATGTATTTAGGTAGGTTTTATTTATGTGTAACTAACTTTCGCCAGTGGCTTCGCCCGCATGGACCCTAGGGAAATGTTTAATGGGATAAAAAGTATCCTATTATCTAAGTCAGCTTCATCAAAATCCGTTCAGTAGTTTCGGCGTGACTGACCGACAAACATCCAAACATCTAAACTTTCAATCAAAGAAACTTTCACATTTATAATATTAATAGGATTAGTATTTTTATTGAGATAGTGAAAATTTCAGTATAGCTTTATGAATGCAAAATTGATCAAATATAATAATTAAAACAAATTTTTACCTTTATCGAAAGTTTAAATATATCTGTAAAAATATTCCTTCGGCTGTTTGGGTGAATTGCCTGAACATTGATGAAAATATGCTTTATAGATTTTCAGAGATAAAATTTTATTCTTATCGCCCAACAAACAAAACCAACGCCCGTCCGGGTTGACTGGTAGAGATTGCCTTTGGCATAAAATCTGCCGTTTGTGTTATATTATAAGCGATTAAAAGTAAATAAAACAAAAAATAATAATAATGTTTTCGAATTCCTATTTGTTTCAATAATAGAATATGAAAAACTTATTTTGGATATGAGTTCATAGTAGTACCATTGCGAAACCTCTATGGTTGAGTAAACACATTGCGCGGGTAAAATTATATCCTATTTCTCGCTTGATGAATCCGAAATAACAACTTTTTTATTTCTTTTAGAGGTGGAAACATCACAGAGGGTCACAAGATCGTCGGTAGGATCCAATCGCAGCAGCGGGGGCTCACAGAACTCCATGTTTGATGATTCCGCCGAAGAGACTCAGCTGCATACAATCGTCTACGATAAAGAAATCGTAAGCAACTACATCTAGTCCTATCCTTTTCTGCGCCAAAAAACCACCCATTGCTAGAAGACAGATAGCGTGTTGGCTCACTTTTAAATACCAAGCAATAAAGATCATTTTGGCATGTTTTCAAACTGTCAGCGGAGTGACGTTTACAATATTTCAGTAGTCAAAATTCTTTTCTTGTTATATTTATTTATATATTTAGTTTCATGGGACTTTCAAAAACTTATTGGAGCTATCTATATGTTTCTATGAAAACTTTACTCGTGGAAGCTTTTACACAGGGTCAGTAGACAGGTCAGTAACCGGCATCGGTGCTGTAGGCTAAACTGACCGCGTTTAACATTGCGCTAGTCATAAACAAAAGTCTAATCGTAGTAGATTCAATTTACATCAGCCCCCTTACTTTCGAACGCAATTGCGACCGATCGACGTTGCAATTGTGCCGTTTCGTACTCTACACCAGCGCTAGAGTACGCTAGTGAACCAATCAAGCGTGCGGCCCGGCACAATTGCAATGTCGATCGGTCGTGCTTGCGTTCGAGAGTAAGGTGGCAGGTCAGTTTTTGCCACCATTGTCACCTTGTAAACTAGATTTAATATAATTTGATATTTATTTCAACACTTTAAGGTTGATTTCTTGTTAATTTTCGTATTATCATATTATATATTGCAAATAGATTTAGAGAAAAAACTAATATCAATTATTTCTTTTCAGGAACAATCTTTACTGAATGACTCTAGTGAATTAACAGACAGCAAGCAAACTTCTAAAGGCAACGTAACGATTCCTGAAACGCCAGATGCTAGCGACGAGTAAGTAACAATAAAAAAGATACACACCCATCGAAAATAGAACCTCATCCTTTTGATTTTAAAGTCGGTTACAAAAATCATCGAAATCTGCTACACGATTTTAGTTTGACATAGACAACATATTCTTAATAAAAAATGCTTAAAAAATCCACTTGGTCCCTGGCACCCTGAGAAGTCAAAAATCAAAATATAATAAATAGAAAACACACATAAAAAGTATTGATACAAACAAATTAAGAACTTATTTAAACATAATATGGTATGTAATGGACAAACGCGTTATACTGCTATTGTCTGTCACACTTTATTTTTAGATAGAGGTAGAAGCTGTCTCGTTCTATGCAATAGCAAGCACATACAATAAGATTGGAAATAAAAATTAATTTTGGTTAATCGATTGATTATCAGATTCAAAAGAATTTAAACTCTTATGTAAGGGGAATAGGGTATGAAACAGGCGTGAGTTGCAGATCTCTCATATAAAAAGGATATTTTAACATTAACATTAATAAAATATTTTTAAATTAATAATTAATTGATTATTCGCTTATGAAATATTGGAGTGCAGACGGTTTTTGTCATTCTCAGTCTCATGCAACGATTGTGAAGTTTTAAACTTTGACGTCACATACGTCAAATGGAAATTTATAAATTTTATATTCCAGAGAAATGGGCAGCTTATTCAATATATGACAATATTTTCAGATCTGATTTGGAACCTGAACCTGTGATCACAAAAAAGAAAAATGGGCGGACAGCAAAAAAGAAGTAGTACACAAATGTTTTAATTCTCTATAAATAATAAATAGAATGAAATTTTATTAGGTCTGTTTATTTTTAATTCTTTTTTTGGTCTTGTTTTTAACCATGGACGAAAAGAGTAGATTTTTACTGGCCATTATTAAATCAGACTCGCTTAAAATGCCAGTATAGCATGTGCACTTCTGTTATGTTTATCCACCGGGATGAGAATTCATGTTTTATATACCTATTACTCTAAAAACAGACAGCAGGTATATCTATGGTCAGGATTGCCGATTATTTTATGTCGAATGAATTGAATTAATTGTTGCGATGTAATCCATGATATTTGCTGAACGTAGGTTTACTTGATTTTCTCTTTTGTGTTGGTTTTGACTTTCGCTTAGTGTTTTTCGTTATTTTTCTTAAAAGAATTTTCAAAAATCTACTCCATCTTACAGATACGTACACTTATTTGTATTGTATGAAATTTTTATAATCGATTTAACTCACCAATGAAAGTATACCCTCGCCTTCTATCAAAACAATTTAGATGAGAAAAAAATGTAATAAAAGTAGTTATTTCACGTTATTCATCCGTCTTTATTCTAGCATATGTAACTATTAACATTATAACAACTTACGCTATCGATACAAAAATTGTCAGTCTTAAACTATTTCTAAGAATATTGACGTTCTAATGGGACATTTTGTTTCGTGTGCCAGTTGATATTGTGGTCAGGGCTTTTGTGCCAGAGCATCCAGTCCTTGTGCCATGGTTTCCATCTTTGACCGTCGGTCAATTTTGCCTCGTTGCTACCATAGTCGAAGTAATTCCAACTGAAAATAGTAACCCCATTTTAATTTCAGGAAATTGCCAAGTGGTAACCTTAAGTTTCAAAATTTTTGGAACACCTGTTCTAATAATTTTTACAAGACTTCTTGTAATTAAAATTTTTAAAATATGTCAATATGGACAGTGGAAAAGCATAATTCAAATTTTAAGTGAAAGGAAGGCATGTATGAGAGCAAAATTGGTTTATCTCAATAAGTTTAGATGCTAATTTTCTATGAATTTGGTGTTCAAAATAACACTATCCACAAATTATTTAAGAATTGCGGGAAAGCATTATTACTCTTCGAATACTGCTTATTGACTTTTTAAATACTTAGGTACTAAGTAGGCTTATTTTAATTACAATGAGAGCATGTTTCATCACTGCAAGAGGTTATTGTATAGAATAAGCCCGTGCTGCAGACATTCGTTTTTCGTATTTCTTGATTAGGAATTTCTATTCGGAGACCTGAACGCAGGCATTTCATACAAAGTGTAGAGTGAAACGCGAACGTTTGTGTTGATTAGGATAAAAAACCTGACGTTCATATAAAAGGTGCGCAGGGATCTTCAAATCAAAATTCCTTACCAGGAAACCGCACACGGAAAACGAATGTGTACGACGAGGCTAATAATTTAGTGCTATATGTAGTGTAGAAGTACAGTTGTGAAGCAAGGCATGAGCATGAGAGTTCCTCAAAGGCGTATTGTTTATAAGAAACTCAAAAGCTAATGCAAATGTAGTTCACCAGGGCCTGCCAGACCAAATCTTATGCAATTTTTATTAAGGCTGATACATTGTTTGTGATTTTGTAAGCGTGTGCGTAAAATCATGTTTTGTTGCTATTATACTTGTGTGAGTAGATGTTGTCTGTGTATTATCCCTGATGAATTTCAGCGGGTGTGAGTTTACGGAGAAGGATCTTTTCGACGGTGACTTTATAACGTTGGTTTCTGTAAATTAGGGTAGTCTTTAAAATGTACTGTTCTGTGTCAAATGGCGGTATTATAACTTTTTACCTAATAATATACCTAAGCTGATACTGTATATGCTGATAGTATCTATCCATATAATAGAAGATTTTGTATTTAGTCTGCTAATTTTTCAGGATTCCATATTCCGCTGTACGTTAGTCTCATAAACCGTGGTAGCTAAACATTTGGGATTTTCACAGATAATTTATTTATACCGCCGCTTTAACAACATAACAGCAGTTGTGCTAAATTCAGAATAAAATAAGTATATTTTTTGAGTTTTTTTTATAGATAATGGCATGGAATCCTTCGTGCGCGTGACCGATTTGGCCGGTTTTAAAATATATCATTATTTATTGTTGATCATTGGGCTATGAATAAGGATAGGTCATAGCCATGAAACTTAGGTGTTCTTTTGATGTACACACGTTAACCGAATCCAGGTTGATTTGTTATCTATGGAATTTGTTACCTAGGACTCAGTTAATATATCCTAGCTTTAGGAAACAATCAATCCTGTGTCTATGTCATGACTATTCTTCTATTATGTTATTATTCTTCTATTGTTGCTCATCATTTTTCTTTTTTTTTTATTGATATTCGGGTAAACAAACAATGACACAACAATATAAGTGTATACAATACAAAACATGATGACATACTAGTTGTGCCACCAGCACCGTTTACCACTAATTACTTTAATAACTATAATAAACAATAACAGTTGGGCTGATTAAAATATAATTTACTTCTACATTGCTACTAAAAAAATAAGTATATACTACTAAAGCGCTTCTAATATATATTTCCTAAACTTATTTCTGTTTGCTGTCGCTAAGTCAATTGCATTAAATTCATATCATTATACTCGTATATCATTATTAGATTCAAAGTAACCTACTTGTCTCCTTCATTGCTCGCTTGACCAGCATTATCGTCCCCGAACCTATTGCCGAGTTCATCGGGCCGTCGTTTGGATTGTTGGTATCTGGTCGTGATAAATTCCGCCGCTCGCTCAGCTATCATCACCGTGGGAGCTGCCGTATTACCTGGAAACACGGAAGTCAGTTTAAAGGATCTATTGAAGAGATATAATTTAAATAACAAGAACTAAGGAAGATACGTACTGGTAATAATGTTGGGCATTATTGAAGCGTCAGCTACTCTAAGACCTAGAAAACAAATTGACATTCAATTACTTTGTGGAGGTATGTAGTTTTTGTTACCGCTAGAGAGGTGTTTTGCTGGTTTCCATACTAAATCTTAACGTTCTCATTCTCAGAGACTCAAAAGAATCTACCCTCTTTTGAGTCTCTGAGATATCCGCGATACTTTAATTAAATTTCAGTGCAACAGTTTCTGTATTGAGAATTTGAAGTCAAACACGTCTCAAACTGTACTTAAACGTCGGTTAAACAGGTTTTTGTTTCTGATTTTAGTTATTTAGTGATCAGTTGATGGCAGTTGTTAAAAACTAGCACTTTTTGCCCTTTGAAATTTAAAAGACTTCAGTTATTGAGAATAATCAGTTGAGATTTTGTACTTTTCTCAATTAAAAAACCGGCTGATAATCTTCAAGAACATTTAATCTTGTACTTGGTTAAACTTAACCTTAATTGAGTAAGTAAAACATGACAAAAATATAAATATTGGAAGAAATACTATGACCAGTTTCTTTGCCTTTGTTCGTCAAGTCATTGGTCGCACTTCCCCAGATATTGTTAACAATAGTTTTTATGTAAATTCATAAAGTAGGAATGTTTTCAAGAATGGTCAAGTGAACTATTTAATACCTTGAATTCCATGCACTCTTAGCTGTGTATCTACCACAGCCATGGGATCTGAGTCGGGTCCCATCTTACAAGTTCCCACTTGGTGATTCTCTGGAGCTGTGTAGAACATGGCGAGACATTTGAAGAACTCGTCCGGTGGATTTTCAGTGTTGTTGCCGCATTCCTCGCCGTACCCTGGCGTGGGTATCATGCCGTATTTTTCGCGCATTATCTAAAATGTTTAACCTCATATTTAAATTTAATTTAAATACTGAACAGATTTCAAACTCCATAACTTTTATGTTATTCTAACCACCAATCTTTAAGCATACATATGTACTTCTTGTCATTACACAAATGAATTATTTAAATTTACAAAAATGAAACATATAAATAGCCCTTGAATTTTTATATAACTTATAAATCGTAAAAAATCACCAGTCCCAGGTGTCAGAATTTTTCAGTTTTATCAATATAGTATTATTAATATAAAATTAACCAAATATATTGCCTTAATATGCTGATTTCAATATAAAATTAGACTAACTGTTGTATTAGCGAGCTTGTAAGCTATTTTAGCGGCGTCCACGATGACATTAAGTTCGTGTTCGTCAAGGAAGTAGTTTGGCTGCATCACTGGCGGCTGCAATGGATCCACCGACTGGATACTCACGTAACCACGACTACGAGGTTGCAGTGATATAGCTGATATCCTGTAGTGAGTAAAAACATCAAGAAATCTGAAGCTACGATGGCGCTTGGAGCACCAATGAAGTATAAACTTGGTAGTTCACCCCTTGTATAATCTAGCAACCAGCTAAATTATAATCTAACATGTTAATGACAGTAATCACATATCAAATATACCTTTTCACTGGGATTAATGATATACTCACTAAACAAAATATTGGAAGGAAGCCTTTTTAGATAGTGCAAAAGCCTTTGATAGAGTCTTGCATGGATGCTTTCTTTCCAATTTCCCGCTACATATGGCCATATAAGTATATCTTAACATGGATTTCCGGCTTTATGTATGAGTGTAAACTACGTGTTCAGGTATAGGTAAAAAACATGAATAGCTCACGCCAGTAAATTTTGGAGTTCCACTTTTTTCTCCTGAATATAAATGATGTTGCCCTTAGGATTTAAGGATGATCTCACAGTACCTGGAGTCTATACAACCTTCGCGGTATGGGGATAGCTGTATGAACTTAATTAGCATTTGGATCGTAAGGACATTTCTATATACATTTCCATTTCAAATTAAATGGGATATGGCAATATAAGGCATTATTCTCTGTGTAATGCCTTATAATATATTGCCATTGCCACTCTACTGTACATTAGAAGGCGTATCGCCTCGTTCCTGCGACAGACTTTTTAAATATTTTCTCAAAATGAACATCAAGGTAACATAATAAAAAGGTATAAGGTATACTTACTCTACTTCTCTCTTATCCTCGTTTTCAGCATCGAGTGGAGTCACGTCCCCTGTACTGCAGGATGCGTAATATCCTCCAAAGAAAAACTGAACATCGGGCTGTCTACCTCCCGCTGGCGCATAACGGGAATTCACAATTCCAGTCAACTACAATTAAACCAAATGTTTGATATCAAAAACTATCCAAAGAAAAACGTAAAAATTCGATAACAGCTATTAATGTACTTAAAATAATATAGAATTATATTATCTGCGGTTATATATTTTGAATTCAGATTTTTAAGGTGCAACTTGTTATATTTGCAGAACTTATTTCAAATCACAACCCACCGAAACATAAAACTTAGTGCCACAGTCGACTTTACCACATGATGGAAGGCAAACATTTGGTATAAATATTGTAACTCGTACGAATTAACCTGACACCTATTCCTATTCTATTTGTCAGCGTCATGAATAAGATGTATTTTCATCTCTTAAAGTCAGCGTGAAAAAGAGTTTTAATGTTAGAACAGCTAATTAAGTAAAAGTCATAAAATTCACCTGCGATAGACCAGTGGCAGAGAGAGGACCTTCTCTTTGTAGCATATAGTCCATCGCCGTTGCCCAATTGAGTTCCGGCACTTCCGGCTCCTTCGTCAACGTAAAGCTTAAATGTACGCCGACGTGATTCTGCAGGTTCTGACCGACACCTGGTAGATTATTCACCACTGGTATGTTGAATTTGTCAAGGGTATCCTTTGGTCCGATACCAGACAGCATTAGAATTTGGGGAGTATTGATGGTACCAGCAGAAACAATAGCCTGGATAAAGGAAAAGTTTATACACAAAAAATTTAGGGCAGTATTATTTTACAATTGGAAAATTTAAATATTTTAGAATTGCGCTATCTGACGCTTTTATACAGTCGATTACGGTATTTAACATCAGGTTTTAATATTTGCCAGCTTTTTTACCTATTTTAATACATATACATATAACTAATGGTCAATTTACCTTTCAATTCGGAAATAAGATTGTCTCCCAAAGCAAATAATATTTACGATCTAACTTAATTTCCACATTATCCAAAAATCATTACTTGGGCCTAGATTCCAAATTCGTATAAACAATTATGAATAGGTAATACATTAATCAGATTACCTCCTTTTTAATTCCAACGGTTTTAGTTTCACCATCTTTTACGTATTCTACACCAGTTACTTTCTTGGAGGCAGGATTAATAATTATTCGGGTGACGTGCGCATTTAGAAGGACATGTAAATTCTGGCGGTGAGCCGCTGGACGGATGTAAGCTCTTGCTGTGCTGTACCGAGACCCATTACTGCAATTAATAATAAAGTTAATTATTAACAAACAATGTGATACGGTGTTTACAAACAATGTTAAACAATGTAATAAGGTACGGTGTTTTTAATTTTTACTGTGCTGATAGTCTACTTTAAAGCCATAAAAAATATAAGGACAGTAAAAATATTTCAATAAATAATAACTAAATGTGTGTCCAAGTTAAAAAATGGTTACACTGTTTTAATTTAATTGAAATGTCTATACTTTGACAGTGGTAAGCACAGGGTAGAAATTTGAAGGTACCTATTTTTTTTTGTGTTGCTTATTTTAATGATTACAAATTTTTATTTATTACTAGCTGTTTTCCACGTGTTATGTAGGTTCCTGTTGGTGAAAAAAAAATTAAATTCGCTCTAGAATTTTGAGAGTTTATTCCTCCATTATTTCCTTTATATTAAGTTATATATTGTCTTTCATTTGAAGTTTTTAGGGTTCCCTAACAGGCCCGGAACATATTTTGCAATGTTGAGCTCGTTCTTTTTTTAACAACTGTAAGTGGGTATTACATAATGATGATTTTGGCGCCCCACTTGCCACCCCTTACATCCGGGCCTGTTCCGCAGTAAGCAAGAAACCCTTATAGTTTCGCCATGTCCGTCTGTCTGTCCGTCTACGGTTTAACTCAAAAACTAATGGTTATTTTGGAATGAGTATACATGTTAATTACGCCGACGAAGAGGTAAAGTGAAATCGAATCGAACGAAGTTAAAAGGGAAACTTAAGTTTAAGCTTTAGAAGTTTACGAGTAATAGTTATATTTACCTCGAAAATATCAAGCAACCCCATAGAAAACTACAAACTGACGATAATGGAACCCTTCGTGCATGAAACCAACTCGCACTAACTGGTTTTCGTGATTCAAGTGCGATAATAAGTGTTTATAAGTGAATGTATTGAATGTAATGAGACGTACTCGTTTTGAGTTTGGGCAATAGTGAAACCAGTGATGGTGTCCCCATTCAAGTCCGTGGTTGGTGGGTAGCCCAGTTCTATAGCCGCTGATACCACGTCGTGGGCGAACTGTGGCGCGTACGGAAACTGTAAATGTGATATTTATGTATATTAAAACACACCATACAATATTGAGATTAATCTTATCTACGATTGGTCCGATTTTGTGCTTATTCGATGGTTAGCCCATTAACAAGATTAAAAGAACTTATGAACCAGTAGGATACGTGTAAAGGGCTTGTAGGGTTTGGGTTGGCGAGTTTGCAATAATTTTTTATCAGGTAGGCCAATCAAGCTTTGAAATTGCCCCTTTGTCCCTTGACCTTAGGTCCTAGTGGTTGGAGAGCCCTGCTATAGAATATACGCCGGAGGACGCCGGATACGTAAGGTCGGAGGACTAACTATTGAGAAGACTCAGCAAGAAAGTCTAACAAATTAATAATATTTGTAGCACACCTTCTGAACAGGTATTGGTCCTCCTGTCGAATGGTATTGGCCTGAGATACCATTACCAATCTGCTTATTGTCTTCGCTCTTCAAGAAGTACGGCATGACGTCAAACCAAGACCAGCCCTTGGCGCCGTTGATCGCCCATCCATCGTAGTCGGCAGCGTGACCCCTCATGTACATCATACCGTTAATAACGGAACAACCACCTAATAGATAATGTAAATAAATAAAGCAAATATGGCGAAAAATTGTAAAAATCTGAAATAGCATAGAACAGCTTTTATTTTGCACGGGGCAGTGGCGCATAAAGGTGTGGAAGAAGTGGACCTTTGGACACGGCCTCGACGTACTACCCTCAATTCGCTACCAACATTTTGTCTTGAAACGGATTGACGGAATACGATAAATTTCCCCGCACATATTTCTTTCACTATCATTAACATGTCGTAGATTTGTTTTGCTTTTGTTTACAAAAACACATTGTAGAACAAATCTGTTGGGCAGATTTTGGCAACAGGTTCTGAAAGAAAAGGACTTCGTCTGTCGCAATTTTTGGCCATACCTAGATTAGTCTGTTGGCACTAGGAAAAATGTAACTTGGTACCTTAACCAAGATCTCCGTGTTTTTATTAATTTTTACTCGATTATGGGTTCTGTTAAGTTAATCCAGACCTCTAAAAGTTATTAAAGCTTTTTGATTCGTACCTAGCATTTTGGCTCTAGGCCAGGAACATTTTCCACCATCATGAAGACACGCTTTCTCTTGCGGTTCAGTATGATACATCCAGTCCGTGTCATCTCGATTCCAGTAAGCTGTAACCCATGCTGGCACTGATGACTGCGTGGGTTCATCTCCACCAGCTTCTAATAATAATACCTGTAATGATAAAAATTAATGCGTTAGAAGCTATCAAACAGTTCCATTGTTTTGGCTAAGGCTTTCTTTGGTCCTAGTACGGGTAGGTATCCAAGGGTCAGTTGAAGGACATATCTATCAAATAGACTCATGTCGGTAGAATAAAGAGTTATCACTCGTTCACCAGGCATATACAAAGTCGTCGAGCAAAATATTTTTTGTAATTAATTTTGTGACAGGTAACAACACCATCGATACCATATCAAAAGCAGCACAAGTACATATTGCAAAACTTATTGACTAGAAAAAATTTGACTTCGCAAAAAAAACACACAATTTTTTTTTCGATGGCATTATACTACGAAAATTGTTATGTGGTTTTCTAGTGTCTTCATCAAATTACCCGTTAATAATTGATACACGTGTATATTTTTTTTTATAAATGGACAAATAACCATAACATGGTTTTTGAGTTTATTAATCTAAAGGCTCATGAGGTTTTTTTAGGAAGTAAGTTTTTTCTTTATAAGATTTTTTTATCAGTCGTAATCAACGTTTTTTCCAAGAAGAAACGTTTTCGTTATTTTAGCAACATAAACGACATAAACAGTGCAAGATTTGCAGTTTTTGTTGTTTTCAAGTAATTAAAATTACTCATTCATACATCATTAATACACATTGCTAATATCCAAAGTAGTTAAGTTCCTTGAGTTGTAAAAGGTTAAAACAACAAAGGTAACATAATTAGCAAAATTTTCTTGCATAAATCCTTATTATTGAATAAAAAAATAAACTGATAAACTAATCACTCAATAGATATTCTTATATAGCAATAATCAAGGTAAGTAATAACAAACAAAAGTCGATTAACATACGGATATTTTACCAAGTACAAATCCAAAAGGGTTTTATTGCCAAAGATGTGACAATGGATTAAAACAATGCGCGGATCCACCATTCCGCATGACTTGACACACTGAATAAGAGGCCTCAACTCTCCGATACTTACGTTAATTAACGAAAGGTTGCAAGAAGATCAGCTTTGATTTAAAGGCAAGCTATAATACGAGTTGATAAAGTTTACCTACATTTGTATTCGCTGCATCAACCCTTGTAGTTCACATAGCAGGCTATACAAGGCCTTGTTTGTTTCTTCGAAAATGAAATATAAAATACTAATACTGCTATAAAAACGTATTATTCGATGATTAAATGAGACAGACCAGATCACAGATTTATAAACTAGCAGTGTTATTAATAAACAAGACTAGCGTTAGAGTAAATTTACGCTGAAACTGCACTTGGTCAAAATTCATATTATTAAACAGAGACTTAGCAAAGGTACGCGGTTCTACGGAAGTAGGTAATATTTACTCCTTGAAGGTAGTAGGTTTGATTATTATCTATATAATATGAATTTGAACTATTCTATAATAAACATTTTAGGGTAAATTTACTCTGACGGTAAACCTTGTTTATTAATAGCATTGTTAGATATTTGCCAATGCTCAATTTAACGACAAAGTAATTTTATTTTATTAAAAAACACCCTAAGCAGTTCTACTTGTAAAGTAACACTGCAATTCATTCAGCTCTGCGATTCTATTAAAACCCGAACTCGAATTCCATATTCACTCAGGCATCCGAATTCACTTAAGAAGCGGCATCCGCTCAACCTTGAATTGGAATTAACGTTTCGTGCTATAAGTGAAGTGAGTTTCGAAATGACATAGGGATAGAATATCAGAGACACGTATGAATCAATCAATCTTGTTTTCTAGTTTTATACAAAAATCAATAGAATTTCTACACTTAATGACGTGAATTCGGGTACATGAGTGAATTCGAATTTCGGCTTTGATAGAATCGCAAGGCAGGTCCGTGACTTTGATTAGTAATGTATATGTACAACTTGCCTTCCGCAGAAATTGGAGGTTATTTTACTTGCGTTCAAAATCTGTTAACAGTACTTGGTAGTGCCACAAAACACAGGTAGAAATTTTGTCATAGTGGCTAGGAGATTTATTGACTTCCCCAAGTTCCGCAAGTACATGTTTATGTCTTAAGAGTTATGCAGGCTTTAGATTTCTACATAAAATTACATATTGATTTATCGTTCATCTTCTTTTATTAATCACCTTTAAGTAGTATCGCCTACCAAAAAGGCTAAGGCTTCTAGCCATTGCTGCATATTAATCATTCGCTTTCAGGCTCGAGGCTAAATAATGAACATAATGGTAAACTTTTATTTCATTTAAAGTATTCTCGTAGTCTGTTATAAATGGACTAATATTCTATCATTCTTCAAACATGAACTCATTTCCTTAACCGGGCGACAAGCCCCGTCTCTAGCGTCTGAGTAGTAATGTGAATGTTACTTAAGTATATAATTATTAGTATTAAATATGCATGACTAATAACAGCTGATTTTATTATGAAATGTAATTAAAAATGCTATGGGTACCTTCCATTGTGGGTTCTCTGATAGTCTAGCTGCAACTACCGATCCAGCTGTACCGCCTCCAGCGACCACGAAATCGTAGCTATTTTCCAATTTTTCTGCATTTGATATTCTGTGAGAATAGATACGAAATGAAAAAGTTATAATAATTAAATCATAATTATCATTACTGTAACTTTAATAAAGATAATACAATGATAAAGTTTTAAATATGCACGTTGTTCCTTTACTTTCTGAAACTGGTAATTTTCAGAAACGACTACTCTAAAAAAAGATATAAACTAAAAGATATAAACGACTCTAACTAAAAACATATAAATAAAATATAATAAAAAAAAAAACAAAAAACCCGCCTGCGTAAAAAACAAGTTTCTGAAAAGTCTGGAACAAGATAAAAAATTATACAACATGATCATAACATGCAGTTGAAGACATGAAATTGAATAATAAGTCTATTTGTGCATGCCTCCGTAGGCGAGTTTTAGTTTTTTTAAGTTAGGCCTACCTCAACCGATTGGTTGAGATATCAATGCCCGTTTTCACTAAAATTAGGAGTTTCAAGTCCAAATCTGTCGCGTTATATTTAGTGACTAGGAATCACCTAACGATATGAAGTAATGTCTAAATTTATTTGCCTAACATGTCAGGTGACAACTCCCAAATAGGTAAAAAAAAAATTGGAATTAAACTAATCTGCTTAGGCGGTTCGTATGTAAGCTATGCTTTGAATTAGATTAGTGAAAACGGGTTAGTCCAAAAATCTTTATACCCAACATTATTTATATGTAATACGCACGCTGTTTTCACGCGATTTGGCCCTTATTTATATAACATAATGAGAATTCTTACCTATTGCAGGGATCAGCTAAGTCGCATCTTCCATTAATGTATGCTTCTAGAAGAGTCATAAATAGCATGAATTGACTTGGACACGCCCCAATCATAGACGGCCCCACTTCTTTTATGGGACAAGGGCAAGCCTATAAAAATAAAGTATTTTATTTTTATAAAAATATTTTAATAATGATGACAGGTAGGTATATGTTAGCATGAGGAGAAGATATTATAAATGAACAGCAATAATATATGCAAAGCAAACGAACTTTTGCCGATGATTTTTCTAAACAACTAAACAAACCTCAGGTACCTAGGTAATGTTATTTGATAAAAAAATATATAAATATATATTATGTTGAAAACCGAGTGGAATGCCACCTCTTTTTTAACTTGATAAATTCTGCAATGATTATATTTCTGGTAATACAAAAAGAGAATAGAAAATCCGTGAGAGTACACTTAGATCAACTTAAAACCTCAGACAAGAAACGCAATACTAATAATGAGTTGAGTAAGCAAAAAAAAATTATGAGCAATTGAGGTAATAAGATTGATTAAAATTGTAGTATTGTTGCAGAAGATAATCTATTGTATAAAAGGGCAAAGATTCAATTGTCAGAAATAATCATAATCAATCAGTTAGTTAATAAATATTGCAGTGTAATTTACAGTATTTAGCACCAGTGACCCGCAGTTTGACTTGGTAGAATACTGAAATGAATTAAAACTGTTTTTTACAATATTATCACAATAACTAATAATTAATAGATGAGCTCCCACCGGTCTCTACGATTTAGCTGCGGTCGACACGAGCCTATACTTTTACTCTTTGAATTACTCACATATAAAAATTCGTGGTAGGTTAAATATCACAAAGGTATTTTAATATAACCATTCATATTTAATGCTGATAACATGAACATAATTATGAATATCCAAATTATATTATTACTATAAACTAATAAAAAATTCAAATAAACAAGATCCATAGTAAAACCAAGCACGCAGCAAGTGGGAGGGCGTTAACGACTCAGTTTGTTTTTAATATTTCAAAACTCTTTGTACGAATATATTAGGTTGGGGAAAAAGTCTTTTCGCGTATAGTACGCATAAACTTGTAACAAATCTTTCTGGCTATACCATTTGTATCTGGCTGGTTTCGGTATCATTTAAAAATTTAAATATTAAAAAAGATAACTCTGAATTCAAGTTAGGAAAATGTGTGAATTTAATTTGTTTTCTTACTGTTAAAATTAGTGAATCTAATGAAAAAATTCAATACATTTTAAAATATTCTACAAAAATAGATAAAAATGCAACGCAAACTGCGAAAATAGTTTAAATTTTAAAGAAGAGAACTTCGAATTCATTTATTCATTCATTTGTTTTTTTTACTGTCAAAACGAGTGAATGTTATGAAGAAATTCGATACATTTTCAAATTTTATTACAAAAAAGGTTAAATTGCAACGCAACTCGCACAAATTTGGTTTAAGCGTTTTCAGTCTGGCAATTTTGATGTCAAAGATGCACGTCGATTCAGTCGAACTGTTACGGATAAAATGGATGCCATTTTTGAAAAAGTAAAGCACGACCGGCATATCAGTACTTACAACGTAGCTGAAGAATAGGTGATTGACAACAAAACGGTTATGGCGCATTAGAAAAAAGTTGAATTTTTGGGTACTTCACAAGTTCATTGAAAGAAACCTAATGAACTCATTTGCGATTCTTTATTATGGCGTAATGAAACCGAACCATTTTTGAAAAAGTTTGTAACTAACTGGTGATGAAATGTGGATCATGTACGACAAGAACGTGTGAAAAAGGTCGTGGTCAATGGTCGGTCAGGCTTCACAGAGTGGGAAACCTGGGTTAACTCGCAACAAGGTGATGCTGTGTTATGAGCTGTTACCGCCAGGTAGAACCATCGATTCTGAACTCTACTGCGAACAACTGATTCAAACAAAAATTTGAGAGAAAGTGGCCAAAATTAGTAATTTTAAGTGATGTGATTTTTCATCATGATAACGCTAGAATTCACACATGTTTTGCCACTCAATAAAAATTAACCGAGTTTGGCTAGGATGCTTTAATGCGTTCACCGTATTGTTCTGACCTTCGGATTTCCACCTGTTTCGGTTTCTTTACAATTCTTTAGAAGTGTCAGGCAACAACACGCGAGAACTGCCGAAACTGCCTATCATGGAGTTTTGATCAGAAGCTCCAAAATTTCTATAGCATGAGATCATGTCTCAACCTACAAGATGGCAATAAGTTATCGTACAAAATAGTACCTACATACTTTACTTTACATACTTTAGTTAAATCTAAGTAAACAGTATTAAAAAATGTTTTGAATTTTCATATAAAACGCGAAAAAACTTTTTCTCCGACATATTATGTAATATTCCTTTAATTTAATTAGATTATAGCCTATGTTTACTATCAAGTTGAGTTGCGTTTTTTCTATTTTTACATAACTGATGACCATGATTTATTACAGATACTAGATGTTTAAGTCACCGCTAAATTATAGGTATAACTTTTGTGATCATATGCAAATAACACACCTATATTAACAACAATATCCTGTTTGTAATGTAAAAAACCTAATCCGACATAATTATCTTGTAGGTTTTTGCGTTTAACCGAAAGATGTTTAAAACTCAATTCAAAAGTATTAAGTGCAGGTGGTTAAATATCCAAGTAGGATTTATTCAAATATTGTGGAAAGTATCGTAAAAATAGAAAAGAGTGTATAAGTCAGATAATAGAGTGATGGCCAGTTTCGAAATTTGATCTATTTATTATATTTGTTTAGGTTTAGGGTCAATTTCATATTAGGGGCCGTCCATTAATTACGTCACACAAAATTGAGGATTTTTACCCCCCCCCCCCCCCCCCTCCCCTCCTGTCACCTATACATTTATCTATACAAATTCTACTAAATATTGTTCTAATGTCACAGTACGTCGACCCCTCCTAGAGTGTGACGTAATTTATGGATGACCCCTTAGCAATTGGTACGAGTATAATAATATTGATTGTGACAGGTTGTGAGTTAGATACCCATATTGGGCACTTGGGCTGATTATTTTTGATGTATTTTTTTAAGGCAAAATTTATTAAATATGATAAATAAGAACACTTAAACCTTTTTCTCATTTGTTTCAAAAATATTTGTAAAAACATTTCATTCGTATGTTTAGATGAATGATTTGAACATCAATGGAAATACATCCACTAGTAGTGAAAGTAACAAGTGCTTGAAAAGTTCGTCCGGTTGGTATTTTGTTTGGTCATTTTGGTTTGGTTTGGTCATAATTTTTCTTTAAGCTCGACTCTATTTTTGTCTTATATTTTTATTTCTACTTTTCATTGCTTATTTGGGTCACAATAATCATAAATAGAGATAAGATAATCACATGTAATAATTTTCAATAATATAGTGATGATGAATTAGATACTAGTAGGTCTCTATTATGGAGTATCTGAAACAAAGAAGCTCCAAGATGTTCAATCTGAAATTAATTATAAAAAAGCTGCTAACGCTACTGAAATTGCTCCACCGAAATCGCCCATGGATGATTATCACGTAAGTTTATGAAAATCGTAGAATTAGAATTGCAAATCAAGATTCAAACAATAGCCTTCAAACTATATAGATCAAAATGAAATATATATCTTCGATTCCTGGCTTTAGCTACTCATCTTGGCATCTGACAAATGTATGTGATATTTAAGTTTCGAACTTTGCAAATTTCAGTTTTTTAATATGTTACTTAAAAGGAACGGAAATGAGTATCTTTGGTCCATTCGTTTCCTGCAAAACTTTTGCTAGAGTCGACACCTAGTAGAGAGGCTTTTTAAGTGCTTTCTTTTTTTTTAAATACAGGAAGTATAGGATAGGAGGTGTATGTGAAGACCTGTCTTTTATCAAGAACGTGTTATCAGAGCTCATATCTATAGAGATTTCATGTACTGTTTATAATGATGACCATAGTGCCCAAAACTCTTGGAGTGTAAAGACTATGCCGTAAGAGGACAAAACATATTAATATAAGATATCATTTTGTGAAAGTTTTTGTGAAATTTATTTATGTAAAGTAATATCCTATGTGTAAAGATAAGTATTATTGTTTTATTAAAAGTATGAACATAATGACATCTTCGGATTTATTTGTATAGGGCAGACGTTTTTGTCTATTTTTTTATATATATTATGATATTTTGTTTTATATTTTTATTATATGGTATAATTTAAATGATGTAAGATTGTATTTTTTGTTTGACTAAATAGGGGAAGTGTCAGATAATCTATGGGATACATTAATCGTCTATCGTATACTTTATATAATATACTGTAAAGAAAAATTCATAGTTATTATTAATTGATGCTTACATTAGGTGAACGAATCATTTTTCTTCCAGGTGTGGGTGTCCAGTTTCCTGTAAAGTAAAACAAAATATGTAACTCGACATTTTCTCTCTTTGCTTTGTTGCGAACAGTCATTACAACAAAGTGACATGACATTTTATATTAAAACTTAAAATGATAAATAGTACCCAGAATTTACTACAAACAATGCTTATGATTAGTTAATTGTAACAGTTACATATATGTATTTTAAGCGTACACTATTATTTGTTACAAAACTCATAGTAATAAATAAGAAAGAAGTAAATGTGTAAATTAGAAAAGCGTCTTTTAAATTTCTATATGTTTGTGATTTGAAACTAGAGATAGTGTTACTAAACAAATCCAAGACCGAGAATTCGGAGTTGAATGTATGAAGACAGCGGGTAAAGTAATTTTTGCGGGTGGGATTTTTGTGGCATCGAGGTTTCAGAAATATACTTAGAGAATGTGAGGAACGAACGAGCTTTGATAATATATAATTTTTGACAAAAATAGGAGAAATCAATGTGATAATTCAATAGTTTATAGAAAAACATTAAGTCAAATTGCTTTCGACGGTCCTTCAAAGATATAAGGTTTGTGACGTTTTAAAGAGACTTTTTCGATTCGATCAACATCCACTTTCAAAATTGATCGTACAAAAGAATAATGAAGCATTTTGAGTTTGATTTTTTTGGAATGGTTTAGAAACCCGATTAATGAAACTTAACTTGCAAAATGATTTTTGTATATTGTATAACTCTAAATCACGAATATTAACTACTCTTTTTAAAGTTGTATTATTGATTTTGTATTCAAAAATATCCGGTTTGCGTTTTCTCGTATATGATACAATACGACACTTATCAATGTTTAGAAATAATTGATTTTTAGCGCAATATAAAGACAACGATAACTTTACTGCAAAGTATAACAATAATTTAAACTCGTTAATATTATTAAGTCATTAATATCCTTAATATATAAGGAAAATAGTACTGGACCAAGATGTGGGTCTTGCAAACTCCGGGTGTTTTTCAACCTTTTTCATGATGCGACCCCCCAGGTATGAAAAATATTTCACGACCCCCGACCCTTCGCTTTTTTATAATGTATTTATGTGTATGTTACACTGTAATGGTTACTTACAGTATTACAAATATTCATTCCATACGAAGTTTTTATGCGTCTACAATTCTACATAATTCATTTGGAAAACGATTTTATTCTTTGTGTATCAAATACAGATTCACGATGGGAAAAATTGATAAATCAAAAACAAGCACAACCTTCGCATTAAAAAGAGTCTTAGAATTTTATTTTTTGTTAATTTGTTTGTATTAACATAGAAATTATGAGTGTATCCATTTGTTAAAATTCTCCTACTTAATTAATCAATATTTTTAATCTTTATTGTTTTTTTCTGAAGTTCTCTCGACCTATGGCGATCCCCCTACAGAAGCTCCGCGACCCCCTGGGGGGTCGCGACCCACAGGTTGAAAAACAGTGGTATAGGTAAATGAGTTGAACAATAGCCCTTCAGACTAACAGCCTGGTAAAGATTCCTTATATAAGAATCAAAATATTGTTTCTTGACTGCAAATGTTATAATGTTTGTTTTTTGGATTAATAAAACCTTCATTACTTCATTATATGTGTTTATTAACATATTTTCTCATTAATTAGCAGGATACACCACTACATCATAAGCTAAAATAAATCTGGGACTTCATTTCGTTTTGTATCCTACACACATATTGTTTGTTCATTGGAAACTACAAAGAAAGTCTACTTTCAAATGTATTCTGTGGTATATACCACAAGTGCTTTCATCGAAGGCTTTCTACGTTTTTGCGGATACAAATATATACTTACTTATATTATGGTACATTATGATGGAACAAAGCCTTATTTAAGGTTACAAACATCTATTAAATATCAAGTAAAATTTAATGTTGTTTTAAATTAACATAATTTTGAGGTCACGTTTGTCAGTTATTTTTTTTAAACTACCTGAAGCGTCTATAAATAAATATCGATATATTAAATTAATAACTAATTTCTTTCAGAACATTAGTTTAAGGTATTTTCTTGAAGTATTTTCGCTAAGAATTTGTATAAACTACTAATAAAATTTCTTTAGCTTTGTGCTTTCATTGTCTTTTCTTCAAACACAACATTGATGTTGTGAGCTGTTTCTGCCGCGGTCACGCTCGCGTTTTGTCTAAATCGAATAAAAAAAACATGAATGTTGCAATTAAAAAAAACCCTCATTTCACGTGAAAAAAGTTTTATTCGAAAATTTCACACCATGGAGGTTTTATGTCAAAAATATTTATTACCATAATACGGCCATTTCATACTTTAACCACTAATATTTTACTTGACATTGGCAAAATGCACAAGCCGTGCCAGCCATATTAAAAAAAAACATATAAAAAAACATAATTGCATATAAATGATCTTTGAAAAAAGTAAATTGTTTTTTTAACATGGGAAGAAATATTGGTTCAGTAAAATTGAATAAACGTTTCTTACGAACATTTCTCAATAAATGAATTGAGAAGTCAGCTTTACCATTATCTATGTACGTTTTTATTTTTATCGTTGGAAGGTTTATTTAATTCTATATTGAGAGACAATTACGATGCTTGAATAACTGTTAATATGTAAAACAACATAATACACCATTGGTGACCTTACAATGTTTTTCGAAGCATAACTGTATGGCAAATAACCCGTAATGCGATCGCTGCTTTTTGAAATCAAACTACATGATAATGCAAGAATTGCCGATCACAAATACAGTGTTATGTGTAGGTAAATCACTCAATTTCGTTTTTTTTTTGTATAAGACCGATTATGATATGTGTTATTATAATTATTGTAATTAAGTGAAAATATTTTTAAAATCGGCCTTGTAGTTTCAGAGCTGTAATGTAAACAAACAATCAAATGTTATTTTAATTCATTTTAAAAATGTTGCTTTATCGTTATATATTAAAGTACCTATATGGTTTTACATTATTTTTACCACTTTTATATTTATATTACATACACACTTTTAGCACCATTTATATTACACTTTTAGCACCACAACAAATAACTAAGACAATATATTACGTTCGTTTTATACATCGACTCGACCAGGAATCAGGTTCTAAACAGGGACCTCGGGGTTGGCGACAACCCTTGGCTGCAGAGGTATTTTAGTTTATGATGTAGTTATCTATAATTATATCAATTCTTAGCCAAAGAAGCCTTTTTTATTTCATTTATATTTAGCATGATGATGATCTAAAACAAATAAAAGTACAAAAAAAGCATTGAATGTTAAGAAAATCGTTTTTAAATGGTTTTGTAATTAAATATACCCAAAACAAACTCTGAAGATCAATCGATATCTAATAGTTATAATCAATGAACTACTTAGTGGAATGGTCAGCAATATTACTAACTTGGTATTTTTTTTTCTAAAAAGAACAAAAAAAATATCGTTGTAATTTCTTTTTTCATCGTATCGTATGTGTCTATTTACCTTGAAAATTATTAATTAACTATCTGTTTTTTCGCTACTTATCCACGTTAAATATGGCCATGTTAGCCGCTTAATTTAGGTGAAAGAATTTTGAAAATCAGTCGAGTACTTTGGCAGCCGATTCCATGCAAATAAACAAAATAATAAATCTTTCTTCTTTATAATAATCCTCAATATACCTAGATAATACAAAAATAAAGTCTGTATAACTAGATAAATTATTTTTCTGTAATCCCATTCGAACTTAATTTTTATAATTTGTGAGAGAGTTCGATTTTATGAAACTACAATGTAACATTTTTAATGTAAAACAATTCACTAATAATTTTATAAACTATAAATATAAAGGCGAAATAATCCACGTTACAGATATATAATAATTATTAGTGTATTTCTTTAAAGAAATTTTACTACGTCAAACTTTCAAATGAAAATTTTTAACATCTCAAATTTATTTAACGTATTGTAATTTCAACTAATAAGAGATCAAATGATGTGAAATTCAATTGCTATTTTATAAGTCACTATTATAAATTATTATAAATTCATACATAAATATTAAAAAGTATGAATCGTTAAACCAGTTAAACCAGTTAAATAAATAAGAAACTAAATAGGTAGTATTTATTTTAGACTAGCTAGGCTTCCTAATTCAATGAAATGTGTCACTATCAAACACTATACTTTACCTTTAAGATCACAATAACTATATAAAAACACGACACAAAATCACATACAATCGCGCGCAATATCTAACTAAATTCGCGCACGGTTTCTAGCGGTCCTCGGAGATGACACGCGCGCGACGTTTTGCGTACAAATGAAGATGGGACACGGCGTACCGGCTTTTTAGCTGATACACCATAGAGTATTTTATGAGAGTCATTCTTGTGTACTCTTTACAAGAGGATAAGAAAAAAAGCGGTTTTAGGTTGTTCTGAATTTTTAGATTAACCGAGAAACTTCGTAATTTTTCAATGGCATTCTTTTAAAGTTTATACATTAAGAATATTACAATATATTATTTATTAAGGATACTTTTCGGTATAGCTTTGTTTATGAAAAATTGGTCAAATAAAATAATCATACAACTATTTTTATTTGTATATTTTTATTTGAAGATAGTGCTTAAAAATTTTAGAAAAAAAAAAGATTATTTTAAATCTTTTCTATTTTGTTAGCAGAAATGATTCTATTCTTAAAAACACTCTTTTAATTTTACATTCCCTATTTCGTTACATTCCAATTTGAAGTTGTATACTTATTTATTTATTTGTCCATGCAAGTATAGAAAAATATATTGAAGTAGGTTTTAGGGCTCCGCGTCCAAATTGTTAAATGGGAACCTAATTACTAAGACTCCACTGTCCGTCCGTTTGTCTGTCTTTCGCCACGCTTTATCGCATAAACTGTGATAGATAAAACAGAATAAAAAAAGTATGTAAAGGGGCTCCCATACAACAAATGTGATTTTGTGCGTTTTTTCGCAGTAAGTGGATCGGAATCCTGCGTGC